TCCTGGTGGATCATGAACAATAACTGAACCCTGGGCCAACCCCTGGTCTTAGGACGAAGGTTGCTTCAGCCCGACGTTGCCCCTTATCCCAGGAGCCCTACAGGACTCACCCGAGATTAGACAGTTGGCTCTGTGTGGGCTTCACAGAGCTGGAGAGTGGGAGGAGCCCACTGTCTGGGACTGCGCGTCTCCCAGCCCAAGCTGCTGCCTTTCGGAAGCCCTCCTCTGAGCCACCCTGAACAGCAATCCCATCTGTCCTGGCTCCCAGGCTGCTCATGGTGGTGGGTTTCCGTACTTCACAAGCAACTACCTATATGGGGGTGGGGGGATTTCTCAGCAGCAGCATGGTGCAGAGGAGAGCTCAGGGATCGGAGGTAGGTGTCTTGGGCTGTAGATCTGGCCATGTTACCTTGGGTTGGTTATTTCCCTTCTGTGGGCCTCAGTTTCCCAATTTGTAAAATGGGGAGAAGGTTGAATTTGATGATTTATAAGGTTGCTATGGCTGTTTTGATGCCTCCTTCACTGAGGTAGAAGATGACTCTCCATAGCTTTACCCGGGGCTTAGAAGGGTGACTGAAGACCTTGGTGGGGACTGGGTCATCTCATACCAGGCCATGACGTAACATCTGCTGGGGCGGTCAGGGTACAGGCCTGGCTTTTGCCCGCAGGCTGCAACTGGAACTGCCTTGCTGTGTATATGTGTAGTATATGTATGTGTGTGCATAGCGGTGGCAGGGGGAGGGATGAACAAGGCCTCTGCTCCATCTCCCCATGGGGAGGGGAGGGGCTCTAATTTGCATGCAATTTGCATATACTTTGCATGTCCGTGTACCACCCACATGCAGCTATCTTTAGGATACAAGAAACTGCATGAGTAGCAGTAACATTTGAGGACTTGAGTCCTGGAATAGGAGCCCAGTGATGACCTTGTACGCTGGCTCCCACTTCACCTGCAATAAAGGTTCCTGTCTCACTTCCTATCATCTCTTCCATTTTCTTCCAGGCTTCAGAATCGAGGCGCTGCCTCACCCCAGCTTGACCTTGATTTCATTCACAGAGGGGGTCCCAAAGCCAACTTGCAGCTGGGGGGCCTAGAGGGAGGGGCTGGTTTAGAATCTCAGGGCCCCAGGATGCACATCATCCAGGTCCTTTCTCCAGCACAACCGAAGCTTTGTCAGCAACTGCCTGGGAGAGGCCGGGCTCAGGGAGGCAACTTCAGCTGTCTGCCCTTACGCCACCCCTGTGGGGCTGGGCCTGGGTGGGGGTGCAGGGGAAGAGGACCCCTTCTTTGCACAACATTTGTGGCCAGTGTCTTCAGTGATTATCCATGGAATGCCCATGGACTGGGGCAAACCCTGGTCATGTACCCACAGAGCTTGAAGACTGGGGCAGCTGTGGAGGCAAGGACCTGGATCACTTCTGAAACGGGGATGGCAATAGCTGGTCAGGGCAGTGGAATCAATACAGGCGAAGGAGTCAATTCATTTTTTATTTTGGCTAGGCAATGGGGTTAAGTGACTTGCCCAGGGTCACACAGCTATTAAGTGTCAAGTGTCTGAGGCCAGATTTGAACTGGACTAGATTACCTTGCAGGTCCCGTCCCTTTCAGGAGATCTTCCAAAAGCACATGTCTAAACATTTCACTTGCCTGCCAAAGAAGCCCGTCAGTCTCTCCTGACTCCAAGGCTGGAGCTCTATCCACTACGTCACCTACCTGCCCCGAAAGAGTCAGCTGTTAAAAGGAATAATCCTTTCTCTTCCAGCTGGGCAGGGTGAAAGTCTCAGCATCCAGAAGAGAACAAGTCAAAAAAAAAAAGATGCTAAGTCCATAATGGTGCCTGAAGCAGAAAGCTGAATGAAGCTCTCAAGCTGGAAATCAAGAGGCCTGGGTTCTAGTCCCTGTTCTGCCACCCCTACCAGGTTGTGGGAGCATCTAGGCAATGAGGGTGCTGGACTCACTGAGCAGTAAGAGGCAGACAAAAGGCCTGTATTTGGAGACCAAGAACCTGGGGTGGAAACCTGGGCTTGTCGCTTGTTACTTGTGTGACCTTGGACAAGTCACTTTAACTCTTGGGGCCTCAGTTTACTCATCTATAAAATAAGGCTGGACTTCTTCAGCAAGCATTTACTAATTGCCCACTATATGTTAGGCACTGTCCAGTCTTTGCCCTCCAAATGGTTACATTCCATTGGGGCAGAGGGGTGTGACAAGTAACATAAAACTCAGATAAGCCTACAATAATAGCTAATATTCCTATAACACTTTTAAGCTTTGCAAATTGTTATCTCATGTAATCCCACAAAATATTTACAAGGTAAAATAATTTCTGGGGACAGGGGCACTGATGACTGCTTTGTAGGTGGTGTCCTTTCAATTGAATTTTGAAGGAAGCTAGGGGATTTTGAGAGGCAGAGGTGAGGATTCACTGAGAAGGGAGATGGAATATTATGTGTATGAAGAACAAGGACACGTGTAAAGATGAGAGAAATACCCAATCATCCTGGTAAGGTAGGCTGGCACTCAACTGGGTAGGGCTTGAGATGCTTCATGGGAGTTAGCTTGTATTTTATCCTAAAGGCAAGAGAGATGGATGGAGGCTTCTTTGGGCAGGCAAGTGAAATGGTAAGACATGTGCTTTTGGAAGATCACCTGAAACGCACCTTTAAGGTCATCTAGTCCAGCTTCTTGTGTCGAGTCCAGCGTGCTGTGTTTTGGGAGCCCTGTGGAGGATAGGTCAGAGGTCAGAGCCTGGATGTCCTCTATGGTGAAGGGCCTTGAACTCGATCCTTTCCAGTTCTGAACTATCATCTCCAGGAAGCCTCCTAGCTGTAGTGAGGGCCCATGACCACCAGGGGATGCTCCAACCTGGCCCTGGCCCACTGGACTCCAAAGAAACAATGAACCTCTGTTCCTCTAAGTCCCCAGAGGCTTTTCCTGAACACTCTTCCTCATCCTTGGGGCTGCTAAGATCTCCAATGTATTTTTCCCGAGAGGCTGGACAGGACATAGGTTCAAGGGTTCAGATAAACTCCCAGGGTGCAGACCCTATAAAGGGCTCAAGAAGCTCGTTTCCCCCTTTTCTCCTATCCCTCAGGGGTGTCTGAATGTTCTATTGTCCCTCTCATCCCCTGCTGCCTCAGCCTGTCCTCTAGTTCCCATGTTTAGATCCCTTCTCTCCAAAGAGCAGAATATGAACTTGTTGGATGGGGAGGGGGAGGGATGGAGCCTGTGGGGACTGTATGCTCCCTGTTGCTCTGACATCTGGAACCAGAGCGGAGCACACAGCAGCAGCTCCCCACTGGACCCCTTTATCCTCCCACCAAAATTCTCTAAGTACCAGAAGCACAAAACCAGGCTGGAAGGCCCAGAGAACGAGCCCAGTTTTCCTCCTTCCTATGTAGAAGGTGCTGGGGAAAGAATTAATTCCTGGAGTTGATTTTTTCCAGATACAGGAAACCTAGTACATAAAAAGCTCCAGACTTACATTCGATACCTTGGTTTGGATTCCCACTCTGCTACAGAACCTGTGTGACCCAGTGAGGCCTCTGCCTCAGTCCCCTCACCTGTAGATGATTTCTGAGGTTTCTCCCAGCTCTCTGAAATCGTACAAAAGGAACAACTGTATCACAAGCAGAACTCAGAATACCCAGGGAGAGGGGTCTGAGGGAGGCCTTAGCTCAGCTGGCTCCTGCAAAGTCACACCATCTTTGCACCTACATCTCAACTTCAACCCTACAGATAAGAAAAAGCGTTAACACTCAAGGAGAGGATTGGGGGTGGTGGGGGAGAAGGCAGAGAAGGTATCCAGATGTTGTCTATTTCTGTCTTCGTGCTGGCCAAGGATCAACTCAGCAAGCGGTCTACATTCCTCATGCAAAGATTTCCTCTGCTCTAAAGCCTTTGCTGCCTCCCCATTGAGCACAGAGTAAAATTCAGACTCCTCGGCCTGGCATTCAAAGCCCTCCATAACCTGGCAGCATGTTACCTTTCTGGCCTGATTTCCTATTACTCCCCTCTATATAACATTCTCTACTTCAGACAAACTGGGTTATATCCTGCCAGCCCAGCCCAGCCTGTGCTCTCCTGCCTTGGTGGTTTATCCACATCATTCCCTCTCGGCTTGTTGAATGAATTTCTGCCTATTTTTTAAAGATGAGCTCAATGGCCACCTGCACCACAAAAGGCATTCCTGATGCCCCTGGTAAGTAATCACCTTCCCTTACACATCCCACCTCCCACCTTTGGACCTCTCTCTCACTCTGCTTTGCAATTCTCTAACAGTGATATATTATCATGTATCACTGTATACAGTAGCCCAAAGTCTCAGTGGTTTTAAGCTTCTATAACTTAAGCCTGCCCTAAGACATCAGAGGCACCCTGTATTATGATCTGCACTGTGTCTGCCCCTCAATTCTACTGTAAGCTCCATGAAGGCAGGGACCATGTCCTACTTAAATGCTGTCTACCAGTGCCTAGTACAGTGTTCTGCACACAGTGATAACTGATGAATTTATAGTAGTGCTTTAAAGTTTACAAAGAACTTGGCATATGTGATTTCATTTGAGATTCACAACGACCCTAGGAAGCAAGTATTACTGAATTTACAGATAAGGAAACTGAGGCCTAGAGAGAGGTTAAGTCACCAGCCCACAGTCACAAAGCTATTAAATGTCAGAAGAAGGGATCTGAATTTAGTCCTGGCTCTAGGTTTGTGCCAGGCTGTTGTGTGTGGGACAAGAGTCACCTAGGAGAAAAAAAGCTGCTACCCTGCTTCTGGGCTGCCTGGGGGAGGGAGAAGTTTCTCTATGAGTCTGTTTGTGCCCCTGCCTTGTGCCAGAGCCTGGCACTGTGTCCTTGGCATCTCCCTCTGGAGCATGACACACTGCTTTCGCCTTCCAGGGCCAGCCTGGAGAGGGAGGGCTTTGGAGGGGGTGAGGGGCGGATCAGCGGAGCCAATGAGCTTCTCCCCTCCCTTCGCAAAACAGCCTGGAGCCAGAAAAGGAATATAGCCTTTTATTGACTACTTAAAGTAGAACAAACTAAATACATATTTAACAATTTTGGTTCCTTTATACAAGACATTAAATAAGTTATGCATGGAATTAAGTAACGACAAAAAAAATGGCTATTTGGGTTACATGGCAAAGAAGATAGAAAACAATCCACTGTCCTCTCCTCAGTCGTGTGGTTTTATCCCAATCACCCTCTTTTAAGAACCACCACTGGGGGCCGTTGGCACACCTCTTATTTATTTACATTCTTGTCATGCCTCAGACATGGAACCACTTCTGTTGCCTCCCCAGAACTTTGGAATGCCAGGGTGTAAGACAATCCCTGCCCTGGCTGGGGCCCTAGGAGACCAAGGGCGCCCTCTTGGATGACAACACTTTTTGCTGTTTCTCTGCTGCCGACCTCACCCTTTCCACATTTCCCACAGCTGTGATGGGTTTTCACCCAGAGAGAGAGAGAGAGAGAGTCAGACGGACAGACACACACAAGCACACCTATTTGGTTTGAGAAATACATTGCAATGCAACAGGGCACGTGGGGTGGATGTGGGTCTAGCAGTGGCCTCTTGGAGCAACGGGAGCACCATTTACGGGGAACACGCTAGCACCTGGTCAACCTCCCTGACTCCTCCCACCTTATCAGTTTCATCATCTTTGGAAATGGGCATTAGGGTAAAGTCTTTGCTTTCACTGAATCAGAGAGTAAGCAGAGACCGGAGAGGTCATACAGTAATCGATGGATGGGCATCTAGCCTACTTGAATACTTCCAGTGACTGGAAGCTCACTATCCAAAGCAAGGCAATTCTTCCATTCTTGGATGGCTGCTCATTTTTTTTTTTTATATTGACCTCAAATGTTCTTCCCTGTAACTTCCATCTATGCCTCCTCATTCAGGCCTCGGGGCCAAGAAGTCCTCCAATTCCTCTTCCTTAGCCACAAAAAAGGCATTCATCACGTACCACCTCCTACTCCCAACCAGTCTTCTCATTTCCCAGGCTAAACATCCCCAGTTCTTTCAACAGTATGTGATTTCATGTCCTCTCATCTTCTGAGTTGCTCGGTTCTTGACATGCCCTAGCTTATCAACATGGTTCCCAAATGAAACAATATTCCCAACGGTGTTTGACTAGGATGGCAGGCAGCAGGGCTGACCCTGCCCTCATTCTAGGCACTGCCCCTCTAGACATGGAGCCCAAGATTGTGATAGCTTCTTTAACCAGCCATGACACACTGTTGGTTCATCCTAAAGCTTCTTGGTCTTTGTCACCTGAACGGCTGCTGGTCTAGACACTCCCAATTCTGTATTTATGTAATGGATTTTTGGAGCCTAAATATCTAAGATTTTTCACTGGTCCCTGTTAAATTTCAAAGCTTAGCCTATCTTTTGAAACCTAATGAAAATCTTTGTATTGGAATTTTTAATCCCCCACATTGGCTACCCCTCTCAGCTTTTTGGTGGCTTCACATTATATAAACAAGGCCTTTACCAAAGCCACTGATAAAAATGTTAACAAGGACAGCGCCTTGTGGCCATCACTAGAGACCCTTCTCTCACCACTTAACTTGAACCCATTAATTCTTGCTCCTTGAGTCCGATTGTTCAACCAGCTCTGAGCCTGCTTAACTTTGCTATTATTACTTAGCCCCTGCCTCTCCATTGTCTCCACATGGATACTCTACGATGGCTTGGCTGAAATTCAGATGAAGCCATGTATGCACTGAGAAGGACAAACAGCATGGCCCTCCCTCTCACAGGCAAGGACGAGAACTAACGTTCATTACAAAATTCAGAAATTGAGAGTGGAAGCAATCTTGTTATCCCATACGTAGTTTACCTTTTGGTTTATTATCTTTTCTCTAACCATACCTTTTTTTTACCCAATATAACTTGCCCCTTGAATATACAAGTGTTATTTTACAGCAACTTCCTTCAGAAAGTGAATGGTTATTTTGTTTTCTAAGTTTGGACTTATCATTGCTTGGCTTTCTTAAAGTGAAGTATACCTGATTCAATGATGCTCTCGATGTGAAACACTTTTTTCTCTCTCCTCTCTCATCCATTCCTCTTTGGGGATGAAGTATCACTTGTCCCTTCTTTGTGGAGATGTCAGTCCAGGCTTGGGTTACTCACTGCGATAGGAGTAAATCTTTGGAACCTTCTTTGTCTTCTGGGCAGGAGACCCTGCTGATCTACTAGATGCTTCCCCTAGCTCGTGCTGACCGATCCTGTCCGACAGACAAGATGTGTACGGTGGGCCCTCTTAGGTTCCTTACTATGTGCTCCTGTATTGACCCTGTAATGCTGGTCACACGTGGAAGAGAATGTATCGGTCTAAGTTCCGCTGAGCCCACCAGAAGAAACAAGGCTCAGCTACTCGTAAATGGCGAGAGGCTTGTAGGTCCAAGGACATTTCCCTAGGGAGCTCAGAGCTCTCTCTCTGCCCCAACTTCAGGTAGGCAGCCATGGCAGGCTGGCTGGTAACAAGGTGCTTCTCTCTCTTTTCCATAAGATGTTCCTCAGACCTCCCAGGGCTGGAGGAGCCCAGAGGAAATTTCTTGCATCAACAGGGCAGCTGTGGGAGGGAAAACATTTTAAATAGTAGGCTGGAAACCCCTCTTGAGAGTCAGTACCACTTTTTCCCCATTTTGTCTGTGTTGTCCTAGGCCTAGTACCCAGGAGACAAATAGTAAATACTCACTGGACTGGACTGACTGATAAAGCACCATGTAGCCTGTGGATGGTTAACAAGACAGATGATGGAGGTTTAAGTATCTGAAAGCACAGAAGCTGGAGAAATCTTTCTGGACGTGGCACATGCTTCCTTTATAAAACAAAAACCAAACCAAAAAAAAAAAATCAAAACCCAAACCTAGGGCCTCACTTGAGTGGCCGAGCAGGTCCCACAGCTACCCTGTGCCAGGCTTCGTTAACGCCAGCCTACTGAGGCAATACCGCATCCAGACTCGCCGGCGTGTCAGGAAGAAACTTGGGGACCTGGGACATACAGCTAATATTCCAGTCCGTGGAGCTCTGGACATCTGGGTCTGCAGGTTCTAAACGTGATAGTCATAGTTTCGGCCAACATGCTTGGAGAGAATGGGCCAACAATAAATTCAATTTCTCTCTCCCTCTATTGTGCTCACTCTTAAAAAAAAAAAGCTGTTTCTATAGAAGTATAAATGGGATTATCTTCCATGCAGTGGATAAGATGTTCTCTGCATAGCCCCTAACAAATTAAAGATCAGGACATATCCTCCTCATGGTCCCAAACTGCACCTTGGCAGCCAGTGAGAGGGAGGCTCTGGCCCCAGCTGAGCAGGGATAACGAATACGTCCATTCACAGAAATCATAACTAATGCATTTAATGAAAACATTCAGCTCCTCCTCCCCCTCCAGGTCTGAGTCGACCCTACACTGGGCTCTGGGAGCAGGTCAGAGTGCAAGGGGTGGTGGCTTTTCTCCTTGCGGAAGGTCCCGTCAGGCCTGGGATTTCTGGACTCCAGCCCAACAATGTGGCTCAATGAGTTAAGTAGCTTTGGGAGTCACATTCTCCCCAGCCGCTCAAACTGGGATTCTCGGTGCCCGCCAGGGACTAGGCATTAGGGTGAGAACACCGTGCCCTAGACCAGCAGTGTGTAGCGGGTTCCCGTCACCAGATGTCTTTAAAGCAAATGCTGTTATGTTCACCGGTCAGGTATACTGTAGAGTAGCTTCCTGTTCAGCTACAGGCTTGGGGAGCTGGACTTTGAGGCTCCTTCCAGATCTGAATTGTTGTTCTGTGACCAATTCTATTCCACAGAGAAAGTGCTCTGGGGAGCCTGTGGGCCAGGCAAGACAGAGAAGGGGCCTAACCATGGAAAGCCCGGAACAAAGGTGCTCTGGAGAGAGGCGAGGAAAGGGGAAGCTGGAGCCCGGGGCTGCTCGAGCCAGCGATCTGAAATGAAGAAAGTGATGCAACGGTCACACCTCCATGCATGGCGGCTGGATGGCCCTTGCACGAGAGGAAAACGTGGGAAGCCTCAGTAAAGCCATGTTTGGCCAGCAAGACTTTGGAGAAGCCATCAATCAGCCCTGGGGAAGCTGCTGGTCATCTTGTCCCCTGGGGGAACATGACAGATAGTGAAAGTAGCTGTCCCTGTCCCCTGCTGCCTGCTCTGATGAGATGGTATGTGCCGATGGTTTGACAGGTGCGTGTATCAACTGAAACCGCCGCCTTCTCGCGGTACCCCAAGGGGCCGGCTGTGGTGGTAACGAAGTGACCACAAAGGAACCGACGACTGACCCCGCTCAGAGTCCGTTGGTGTCTATGGCCGTCACCGAGGCAGGGGTGGAGGACCGTGAGGTGGCCGCAGAGGTCTTGTCCAGGGCTGGGCTCAGCCCTCCGTCGGCAGCTTTGGTGACGGAGACGCGGCCGCTGGGGGGGAGAAGCGGTTTGCTCTGACTGTGGGGCCCCTGGCCGCAGATGCGGTGGTGACGCTCCCAGTCCTTGTGCTGGCAGAAGGAGCCACAGTACCGAGCAATGTTGCAACCGCTGCAAGTCTCACTGGCTTTGCGTCCACAGTTCCAGCAGCTCTGAAAGACAGCAAGCTTATTTCCATGAGTCAAGGTGGGCAGATCGAGGTAATACAGCCTTTCGCAAAGCCAAAAGCTAGACAGAGAAAACATCTTGCTCTTCTAAAGAAAAGAAGATGAGCTTAGACTCTGGGCTCTTTCCAGGTGCCTCGCTGGCTGCCCCCCCCCCCAACTGTACTGATGGCACTGGATGGTCATTCAAGAAACATTTATTAAGAGCCTACCATGGGTCAGCCAAAAGCTAAGCACTGGAAAAGATGCTTGTCTGCCTTAGAGGAACCCAGGCATGGCTGGGATGGGAACCCAGGATCTCTTGTTTATGAGACAGACACTCTGACAACTAAGTGTACCTGCTTCTGCAGCCACGAGCCCCCAACACCTACGGGACCCTGTGGGAAGCCCTACTGGCCCCAGCAGGGGTCAGCAGGGCGTGGAAAGGGGGTCAACCCTATAGCACCTTCATCCTACCACAGGAAGTGGAGGCCATGGGACCTGGGTTTGGGGAAGAATAAAAGTAACACTAGTCACTTTGAAAGCAGGTGTGAGTATAATGGGACAGGGAAAAAAATCTCCTTAGGGCTCACTCTAATTAAGGGAGGGTCTGAAGCAATATAGTCTAGTGGATAAAAAACTAGCCTTGGATTCAAGAAGACGGGGCTGGGTTCCAGTCCTGCTTCTCACACCCATCCTGGCTGTGTGAGCTTGGACAAAGCACTCAATCTCCCAGAGGCCCAGTGATGTTCCCAGGACCCTAAGGTACACAGAAGCTGCCCTCTTCATCCCTGGAAAAGGGCTTCCACAGCAGGCGTTGCCCACGTAGTCTAGACCCTGTGGTCAATCCCACAGAGACACAGGGTCTGCTTCCCTTTTGGCCCTGCACCTGGGCCATGTAGTGCTCCATCGTGTGCTTTCTATGAGTGCCGTCTGTGACTGTCGCACACGTTCCAAGTCAAGCCTCAAAGCTAATGAAGCAGGTGGGGCTGTTCTCATGGTGCTGGGAATGAGGTGACTGAATCCCCCTCCCTACTCTGCCTTAACTGAACACCCCTCCTTATCCTGAGAAGCCCATCAGCTGGTGACCCGGCCAATGTGACTGGCTGGGAATAACCCAGGGAATGGGGCCAAATGTGGGGCTCCACCAGGATGGTTCCGCTTGAAGTTTGCAAGGAAGGGAAGAAGCTATTTCCTACTAGAGATGAGGAAATTGAGTCTTAAAGAGGCTAAGTGATTTGCCTAGTACCACAGACTTATTAAATACCTGAGAGAGGATTTGAACTCAGGCATGGCATGCCTGACTCCAAGTCCAGAATTTCATCAACTATGCCAATTAATTTCAGCTTGTCTTAAAAAAAAAAAAAAAAAAGAAAAACCCCACCACTTTCTGCATCATGAATGTTTAGGAGCATGGATTTAACAGTCAGACAGGACCTTAGGAATTATCTAATCCTATCCCCTTTACTTTGCAGGGGAGAAAACGGAGGCAGCGTGAGCTGAAGTGTGACTTCTCTAAAGTTGCACAGGGAACGAAACTGCAGGGCTAGGATTGGAAGCCAGGCCTTCTGACTAAAAAGTCAGCACACCTTCCACTACTCACTGAAAAAGGGAACAAAACAGAGACACAATCCCTGCCCAGAGCAGGAAGGAAAGGCCACCCAGGAGCTGGAGGGGCAAGAAGAGCTTCCTCTGCCTCCCTGTGTTGTCAGGTGAGCCTGCTTCCTCTTCAGCCTCCTCTCTATCCCTCCCTACTGCCCATGGCTGACGAGACGTGGGTGTGGACAGACAGAGAAGGCACCCTGAAGAAGGGATAGCAGTCCAGCAGGCTCTCTCTGTGGGTCGGGGCAAAGGGAGGGGTCTCGGATCTGCTGACTTACTTACTGGTGGGTAGAAGTCGAATCTGGTTCCAGGGCACACTGAGTGATAATGATTGATAGTGGACTATCCCTACTGAGAATGGATGAGTGCTTCTGAGTGCCTGGGTTGCTACTGGGGGGTCCAGTGTTGGGAGGCCCTGGCTTCTCTTGGAATGGGCCTCTGGTTCTGAAAACTCCCACCATTATAAAGAATATCCGTCACTCTCATTCTTATATCAGCTCAGTCCATCAGGCCTGTCTCTCTGACACTACCATTAGGACATTCCAGGTCTTGTCAGGAGCCTGGGGGAACGGCTGAAGTCTACCCTGTCCAGACCAGCTCTGTTTGGTGCCTGCCAGTTCTAGGAACACAATGCTGCTCTAGGAGCCTGGATGAGTTGTCTTTCCCCATTGGAGGTAAACACGCTGAGAGCCGAGACTGTCTTATACGTTGTCTATTTCTCTCCCCCAGCACTTGGCACACAGCAGTGCTCGATATTTTTTTTCATCACTCATTCATTCACAGATACTGACATACCCTGATTCTTCTCTTCTCATCTCCTGAACTTTAGCACAATGCTTGGGACATGGCAGTGCTTAATGAAACTTTGTTCCCATTCATTTACTTACAATGACAGACTTTGATCCATCTGCTGTTTAATTAATACACTCCACTAGCATGTTTTCTAAACTTTAAAGTGCTCTAGTGAGGTGAGCTGTGACCAGCACTGCCTAAGTGCTGTGCATGCCTAAACCTTGCCCCCTGCTGTGCACAGAGTAGCCACCTAGAGAGTACTAGGTGACATGAACTGGACACTGACCCGGCGATGCCCCTGTCTGCTGGATAGGGACATACCCCAAGGAGGGCAAAGACAGAAAGGTCTCTTATATTCTTAAATATTCAAAACACTTCACGTGCTGGCAAACAACTATTAACAAAACACGTGCTCGTGGATCATCAAACTGAAGGGTGCAGGTTTTGTCTGAGCATATGAAGATGGAGGGGGATGCAGGGACTTCACTGAGATGTCACTGGTATTAGGGACCACCCGGATGAGGAATCTCCATGAGCCAACACAGGTCAGCCAGCAACTTCTTAGCAACTACAGTCTTAGAGAGCTACCCAGTGCACTAGCATGTCAAGTGACTAGCCCAGGGTTACAAAGCCAGCATGTATCAGGCAGGATAGGAATCCTAGGTCTTCCTTGCTCGAGGACAATTCTCTGCCCACTATACTATATTGCTACTACAGACCATCCCTTATTTGCAAATGGCCTGTCTTCTCTAAATGGATGTGAACACACCTGTAGTCTACCTTCTTTCCATGCCACCAAGGAGAAATATTTTAATGCTGTTGGTTCCCTTGAATACTACAAATTTAAGCCAAAAATTCAATTCACTACTTTTTTTCTTTTAAAATTCTGGGTGAGAAAAAAGATGTAACATTAATATCCACACCCAGGCTGAAGGGGGGGCGCATCTCATCGCCTGCCTGCTAGCCCCCAAAGCTCTTACCTCAGTGGACTCTTCCTGCTCATTTATAACCAGGAAGGCATCTTCAGTGGCCTGGCGCTTGGCATCCGCGATGGTCTGCTCCATGCGGGCTCTCTCTGATGCGATCATCTCAAAGGCCTTCTGCTCAGCCTCTGCCACAGCCTTCTGCACTTCCGACATGGCCTGCCGCTTCACCTCATTCACAGCTTCTTCTAGGGGAATACGACGGGATCATTAACTGGCCAGAGAACCCTGCAAAGGCACGGCTGCCTATCCCGCTGCTTGCCTAGATGGAGCACGAGGAAAGGCACTTGGGGATCTCATTGTTTTAAACTATACATGGGCAGTTCCATGTCTGACAAATGCTGCACTTGCATTTTATGCTTCCATTCCAACATGAAGGCATGTCACCCTAGGACTTCATAGGATGGAATATTTGTGAAGTGCTCCATGCAGTGCCTGGCACACAAGATGCTTAATAAATACATATTCCCTTCATGGCACTCACAGGAAAAGGGGAAAGTTAGGCCTGATGTAAATACTGAGAAGCTAGAAAGCCTCACCATTACCCCAACCACGATGGTCCCCAGCCGCATATGCTGGGAAGGATTGGCATGACCTCTGTCTGAGACAGTGTGCTCTGCCTGGGATGGCCTATGCCTCTCTCTTTAAGCTTGCTGGCTCACTGAGGCCTTTCTGTGGGTTAAGCAGAAGAACTAAGGTTTTTGTTGCTGGTGGTGGATGAGGGTAAGAGCGTAAACTGTTCCCACATTCTGCCCACTGCTCAAGGACACATTCAGGTACCCCTTCTTCTCTAGCTTTCCCAGACAATTCATTCTGGGCTTTTCCTTCTCTAGAATTTTATCCTACTTAGCACCATTCAGTTAATTCTGTTCATTGTAATTGTATATTACAGTTATTTTTCTATTTGTCTCTCATCTCTTTACTAGGCTATGAGCTCCCCCCAAAACAGGGACAAGATTTTATCTCAACTTTGTATATCCCCTGGGAGGGAACACAGGATTATGTATATAATAGGTGCTTAATGAATGTTTGCTGGGTGAATGAATGGGATGGGGTAGGGCTGGAAGAGAGAACTCTAGGTGGTTATTCCCCACCACAGGGGTGGGGAACCTGCAGCCTCGAGGCCACATGTGGCCTTCTAGGTCCTTGGGTGCAGCTTTTTGACTGAGTCCAAGTCTTACAGAACACATCCTTTTATTAAGGGGATTTGTTCTGTGAAGTTTGGATTCAAAGGGCCACAACTGAGGACCTAGAGGGTCACATGTGGCCTTGAGACCACAGCATTTTATTTTTACTCTTCCCTCAAAGGTGTTAGTGTGGAAGTTCTCTGAGGAGAGAGAGGAGGAGGGACACAAACTGCATAGGAATAAGACCCAGCAAAAGAGATGCAGAAAATTCACATACATACCTCAGCCCAGTAGAGTCAAACTCAAATAGAAACTGGGCCACTAAATCATACATATGGATTCTTGCCACGCATACTGACCTAGAAAACCACATATTAACGCTACCTATGTTCTATTATATTTTTATTTATTTAAGTGTTTCTCCATTACATTTGCTGGGGAGTGTCCCAGGTACATAGTTTTAACGTCTCTGCTTTACACAAACCAGTAATTACTCTGGCTCAAATAATGGAGAGCTGACTGTAACACATAAATATGAACCAGGCCTGTAGAGGGGACCATCCTCCACAGTGGCCACCTCTAAACGTGACACATACAGCCTGGCTTACGCACGTCCTTTAATCACACACCATGCTCATAGCTCCCTAACGGAGGAAAACTCATGCTTTATACAAGCCTCAAATATCCTCACAGAAACCAAAGAAAGCCATTTCTGGAGCCCCAGGAACACACACCACCACTCTCCTGGGCCCTGTGAGTTTAGCTGTGGCTTGCCTCCTGTCTGTTAAAATAAGGAAGACAAATATGCTATGGAGATAATCAGATATAGCTGTATCTAAGAATGAGATATTCATGCAAATGCAAGGGTAGGAAGAAGCCGCTCTGGGCTTCCAGAGGTTAGCACAGTGCCTGGCACATAACAAGTACTTAATAAATGTTGACTGACTGATAGTGTGTGGTGAGAGAGACTCTGATGTGAAGGACATGGAGAAGAGGAGGCTTAGAATCAAGGGGGGGCAGAGATGCCAGGCAGAAGGTCTCAGTGATGAGCTAGCACAGACCTAACTAGAGGGCCTAGTGGATAGAGTTCTAGACTTGGCACTGGAAGACCGAGTTCAAATCCTGCCTGGGCTCACCGGTACACTCCCCTATAAAATGAAGGGGCTGGACAGGATGATCTCTAAAGCATCTTCTAGCTCTAATAGTCTAGGATGCCATGAAAGTCCATCAGTCAACCCAAAACTTATTTCCCATTAAGGACTTGGAAGGAATGCAGAGCAATGCTTCCCTCCCTGGCCTCAGAGAGCTTAGAAGTTAACAAGGGGAAGAATTGGAGAAACAATGAAAAAGTGCACGGTGCTAAGCACGCTACAGTTTTGAGGGCTGGAGAAGGCAGGAGCAATGGGTTAGAGCAGCTGGGACCTAAATCTTGCCTTGAACTAGGGACAGGATGTGGCAGTCCCTGTCTCCACTGCACAGACCTTCAGCACAGATATCCTAGACCAGGGATGGGGAAGCTGCGGCTGTGTGGCCCCCACCCCACCCCCGGTCCTCAAGTGCAGCCCTCAGACAGAATCCAAACTCCACAGAACAGATCCCCTTAATAAAAGGATTAGTTCTTTAAAACAAAAGGCTACACCCAGGGACCCAGAAGGCTACCCATTCCTGATCTAGACCATGGCAGCAGTCCTCACCGCCAGAATAAGCCTTTTTATATTTAGATCTGGCCACCTGGTTTTTCCATTTGGAAATTGTCAGTGGCTCCCTAATTGGCTACTGAGGAAAGTTCAAACCCTGCCGGTCTGGCTCTGAAGGCCCCCGTCATCTGTACTGCTCTACCTTTCCAGCCTTCTCTTATATTATCCCCTGCCATGCTCTCTACTGGCCAGCTAAACTGGAGTACTTTCTATCCCCTAAATACACCTTGTCCTGCTTTCCAATCTCTGTGCCTTTGTCACGGCTGCCATGGCTAGAATGCCCTTCCTCCTCTTTTTCCTTTGCTGAATTCCTATCCAGGAAGACCTCCCTAATCCTCCTGGTTAAGAACAATCTTCCTCCAAGGATCCCACAAGGAACTTTGTATATGTCTAAAGCACTAATATAATAATATTGTATACTATGTGTCTCTCATCTCTTTACTAGGCTGTGAGCTCCCCCAAAACAGGGACATGGTTTTATCTAAACTTGGTATATCCCCTGGCATGGAACACAGAACTATGTATATAATAGGTGCTTAATGAATGTTTGTTGGGTGAATGAATGGGATGGGGTAGGGCTGGGAGAGAGAATTCTAGGCAGAGAAAAGCAAACTGTGAGCAAAGCCAGAAAGGCAAGAATGAACAAGTTTTGTAGGTGTGTATGTGTGAGTGAGTGAGAATTAAGAGACCATAATCCTGTCCAGAGAGGAGGTAACTAGGGAGCCATTCCATGCTCTTGAGCAAGAACAGTAATGAAGAAGTCTAGGGGTTCTGGGGTGCTGGGACCCCAAGATCGCGGTACCAGGCCCTGCCTGAAAGAATTCAACTCAAATCTTCTTCAGCCAGAGGAAAAGTTTATTAGTGATAAAACATATAGGCCGGGTGACGCCCGTAAGGACTAGCAGGCATGAGAGGTTCTCAGCCTTTAGAGCGTGAGATTCTCAGCATCTGAATGAGGGCCAAGGTGGATCTTAAATACTAAAGTTAACTTTGGGTGGCCAGAGAAGGGGGTTGGGTAAAGGGTGTAGGTAACAATTCTAATTGGGGAGGTCGACGAGATTGAATAGACAATGGGAATAGATAATAGAGGAACAGGAAGGCAGAAGTTTGAAAGGCATCTGCACAAAATCAAGGTGGGGCTAGGACTTTCAAAAGGAGATAAAGGAAGGCCTTTCTGGGGCCTATACACAAGAGGGAGCCTAAGGCTTTTAGGGCGCATCTGAATAAAGATTAAAAGGTAAAGCTAAGGCTTTCAAAGCAAGATGAGGGTCTGGGGCCCGTGAGTCAGATGCCCTTTGGCCCCAAGGCCGAAGATCTTGGCTTGGGCCCCACCCTCATCAGTAATATGATAAAAGGGCCATTTTAGCAGGATTAACTAGGCTGACTGAAACAGGGAGAAATAGGAGTCCAAGAAAGAAATTTTGTGAAGAAGTTTTCAGAGGATATCAGAGCTATATGAACAAGAAAGAAGGAAGAAAACAAAGACTCAGGTTTCAGAGTTCTTAAGGAAGGATACGGTTGAGGTTATGGGGGAGGGCAGTGACTGAGGCAGCAGATGATTAGAATACAGAAGGACAGGCCACTGAAGACAGAAAGGTGTGGGAGAACACTTCTTCGTAGCCCATTTAGCCATGGGGAGTGAACTGAGTTAATATCAGGAGGCTGTGAGTGGGTAGGGGTGATAATAGCCATGTCAGGAAAAGATAACTGGGTTCAGTGATGACAAGGCAAAGCAGGAAAAGGCATGGATGGAAGAAAAATTAAGGGGACAAAAGGGAGAGAAGGCAGCATCTGGTGCAGTGGGAAGAACCCTGACTCCTGTCCGTCTGCTGCTGGCTTGATGAATGACCTTGAGGCAAGTTCCTTCCTCTCTCTGGGTTTGTTTGTCCATCTATAAAATGAGAGATTAAGACTAGGTGATCTCTAAAGGCTCATCCAGATCTGACATTCTGTGTTCTGTGACTGGCCAATGAAAAACTAGGAAAAACAAATACAGATTAAAAAAAAACCATAGGACATCAGATAGATCTATACTCATGAGCTCCAGGTTGCATGAAGGGCCTCTGGGCCAGGATGCTTGGCTCCCAAGGCCAGCCAGGGTTGAATGTCAGCCCCACAATCCTATGATTCCAGCAGGGGAGACTTTAATTTAACTGATCTAGGCGATGGCAAAGATTGGCTTACAAATGCAAATGCAGCCCAGGTCAAATGCTTTCTTCCAAGTAGAATCACTCCAGTTGCAGGGAATTTATAAAATCCACAGGCAAATTCACACACACTTACCAGCTTTCTTCCAGATCTCTTCAGTGACATAGCCTGATCCTGCCCTACTGCTGAAGTCACGCTGGGAATCTGCAGAGAGAGGGGGAAATAGAGTGGTGTCAGAGGGGACCCCTACTCCCACCCAGAGACCCAGTCTTCTTTCATCTGTACTCTGTCTGAAGGGGGAGAGAGGACAAAGAAAAGGGAATGAAAGAGGAAGAGGAGAGATGGGGGAGAGACAGGGAGAGGAAAAGAAGAAAAAGAGAGAGGGGGGGAGAGCGAAAAGGGGGGAAAGGAAGAAAGAGAAAAGTAAAGTGAGAGAAGGAAAGAGAGAAGAGATGAAGAGAGGAAGAGAGAGAGAAAGTCCAAACACCTGGAGATTCAGGTAACATCTTAAGAAATAGGTTAATACTATAAATCTAAATTAATAAAGCTTTGTAAATGGATGAAAGAATTAGGCAACAAGAAAACAAATTTATACTAAGGCAGCATAATAGTGTAGTGGAAAGACCGGATGTGGAATCAGGAATCTTTGGGTTCAAATCAAATTCTGATTACTTCCCCGCTATGTGACCACAGGCAGGTCACTTACGACATCTCATAAGAAAGAAGTAACAACAATAAGCCCCAGCAGAGGCTTTTCTGAGTAACCGCAGAAGAACCTGCTCCCAAGCCCCAGAATGCCTGTAAATAAGGCTGATGGAGAGGTCGGGTCATTGCATGTGTGGTTAGAGTTGGGCTATAACGTATGTGTGTCTAAACAAGCCAGGAGGGAACAGCTGTGCCATGCACGGTGCAGGCACTTTATAAGTGTTCGGTGAATCAAACTGAACCAGCTCATCCTTTTAAAAATCCTAGTCCACAAGGCTTTGTTTCTGAGATATGACCGAAGCTGGCCAAACCAAGGAATAGCTAAGGGATTATTTCCAGAATTTTTACAAAACTGTGGAGTTCTGGTTTGTTATTAGTGTTGGACAAGGGTCTTGAAACCAAGTGTTAATTGAACATCTTTAGGAGCAGGAGGGACGCTGTTCTGCAACGTATAGTGGAAAGAGCTCTGGCTTTGGGGTCAGAGACTCAGGGTTCAAATTCTACTTCTGGTGCTTACTGTGTAACCTCAGGCAAGTCCTGTAAACTCCCTGAGCCTCAGTTTCCCTCATGTGTAAAATGAGATGGCCTGAGGTCCCTTCCAGCTCTGGATCTAAGACCTCAAGATGGAGCCAAAGGGCCAGAAAGCTCTCAGGAAGAGAAGAGAAGTCTCTAGTACAGAGGGGGCATCTAGAGAAGGGAACCAGAAGGGACAGAGAGGAAGTGTGACGCCATGATAGTAAACAGAAGCAATGAAGGGCCGTAAGGCTTTATGGCCTGGGATTGAGGACAAGTGCTCTCATTCCCACTCTGACCTTCTGCTACTAGAATCACAGGAGGCCACTCTCCTCTCTCACATGTGACATTCCATCTGCTGTCACTGAGCGCTTGCGTTGGCCGTCCCCCACACCAGGAGTACACTCCTTCCTCATCCTCGCTTCAAAGAAAATCCTCCTTGCAAGATGCAGCTAAAACACCACTGCCTGCAGGAAGCCTTTACTGATCCCCCCATTCCTGATCCCCCAAATACCTTATACCTATATTTACTTAAATGTGTCTATATTGTCTCCTTGTGGACAGGCACTTTCACTTTTGGTATCTGTCTTCCCAGCACCAGGACAGCACCTAGCACCTAGTTCATCAATCATATAGATTGATGACCATTAGAGACAAAAGTTTTCAAAGCTCTGTACCAGCTTTAAGGGGCCCATAAGCCAGATGCTCAGGATCAGTTTCCCCCTAGACCCTTCTTCCTTCTGCAAGTCTGTGAGCACTTGCCAGAAAGGAATTCAGAATCTAATAAGGCCAAGCAAGGTACTTTCCAAACCTGAGGTTCAGGACCAGCCTTCACAAATGGAGACAGATGTTAAAGGATACTGCAGAAAATAGTGAAAGGTTGGGGGCAGCTAGATGGCGCAGTGGATAGAGCACCAGCCCAGAAGTCAGGAGGACCTGAGTTCAAATCCGGCCTCAGATCAAACACTTGACACTTACTAGCTGTGTGACCCTGGGCAAGTCACTTAACCCCAATTGCCTTAAAAAAAAAAAGAGAAGAAAAGAAAATAGTAAAAGGTCCAGGTACTCGAGGGAAGGACACTGGGTGGGTGAGACCTTTTATATTTGTCTTTGTTCTTTTTTTTTTTCTTGGCTAGGCAATGGGGTTAAGTGACTTGCCCAGGGTCATACAGCTAGTGCCAAGTGTCTGAGGCTAGATTTGAACTCAGGGCCAGTGTTCTACCCATCGCACCACCTAGTTGCCCCTATGCTGTTATTCTTAAAGCGGTTATCTCATTTATGAGCCTTCACTCAGAAAGTAAGGTTTTAGGTAATACTGAATTGAAATTATTTCTCTAGTAGAACTAGGAAAGCTGACAAAGTCATTCTGTTGTCTATAGGGCTGGTTCTTAAGAATGTGTTAACTTCTAGATACCCCTAAGATACAGGCACAAGTCACATCCAACTTATAAATACTGTACATTTCCAAATTCTGTGTATACCTTTCTCTTTGGCAGTGGTGAGGTGGGTAGAGGGGCAATGCAGAAGGGCTCTGAACAGATTTCCCCAATTGAGAAAAATGTTATAAAATGACAAGCAGGAAATCTGTTCTGGCTTTCCTTTGAAACTCATTCAACTCTGAAAGTAGCTGAACAATACAACTATTAGGCCAGTCTTGAGTTTTGGGTTCTGGGCAAAAACTATATGATAAGAAGAAAATAAAAGGTAGCAGGAAAAGAAAGAGAGGGTGGAGGAAGGAGAGACAAGACAGAACACGGGAGGAGGAGGAGAACAAAGGAAGAAGAGGAAACCTGGAAGGCAAGAAAAAGTCATCTTTTGCCCTTCCCCCACCATCCTCCTGGACACAAAGCTGCCCTGAGCCAAATCTTTAGAGTTCAGATTTGTCTTTGTCATCCTCCCACCTGTTTCTGTATCCCAGGTAACCAACAGTCCATTTCTCTAAGCACCGCTTTCCACCCTCACCCCCAAGTGCTCCATTCTCCAAAATTATCTAACTTACCATTCCCATATTATTTGAATTTCCATGTTCTTACTTTAACTAATCTCAGCTAGGAATTAGCAAGAAAGCTGCTTAATTAAGCTGGGGTTTTTTTTGTCTCCTTGATATTGTTTAATCTAAAATTAGGGTGGGTGGTAGGGGTATAAAAATTAAGCAAGCCCCTGACTGAGGATGAGAATGGTCCTTGTCCTACCACTGGCCCCCTTCACCAACCCTTATAGGATTTCTCCTCTAAAGATAATCTGTTACCTAGTCTCATTCTTATTTACTAAAGAAGTCACCCAAAATCATAAAGCAATCAGTGGCAAAGTTCACTGGAACAAATGCCTCCTGGCTCTTTCTCTTAGCTAAGTGCTTATGATCTAGACCCTGGGCCTCCAGATGTGGAAACTGATGTGTGTCCAAAATCACCCTTCCCTCTGGATGACAGAAAGGAGGCCATAGCCACCACCACCAGCCAGGAGCCAGCTACACACAGAGCCTTGGCTGGCAGCCGTCTGAACAAAGAATGTGGCAGTCACCAGGAGAAGTTTCACAACATGAAAAAATAAACATATGAAAAAACAAACTGTGGGAAACTCTTGAGGGAAAGCATGAAAAACAATCTTTATCCACTATGGGAGGAGGGGATAAAAATGGGTAAACACGATATACAGGTCGCAAAGAGGCAGTAAGTTGTGCACTGGATCTTAGAAGTCAGGAAGATCTAGGCTCAAACACTGGATGGACTTGGTGGGCTTTAAGGTCCCTTCCATTTCCATCAACCCCCATAACAAAACCCCTAAGATACAAATGTCTCTAAAGCTATTAGGCAGCTAGGTGGCACTGTGGAAAGAGTGTTGAGCCTAGGGTCAGAAGACTTCTCTTCGTGAGTTCAAATCTGGCCTCAGACACTTACTAGCTAGCTGTATGACCCTGTGCAAGTAAGTTAATCCTGTTTGCCTCAGTTTCCTTATCTATAAAATGGGTTGGAAAAGAAATGGCAGAGTACTCCAGTATCTTTGCCAAGAAAACCCCAAATACGGTCACAAAGAGGTAGACACAACTGAAACAATTAAACAACAAAGATTTTTTTTTAGATTTCTGTACATTAAAAAAAATTAGATTTCTCAGCTCAAGTTGATGGCTTTCTTATCATCATAAGCTGACAGAGAATTTTAAGTTGGTTAAGTTGCTCCAATGCTGTCCAAGCCCCACCTACTGAGCCATGTTCCATGAACCCCTGAGGGGCTGTGGCCTTCCAAAGATGAGTGCTGCCTGTATGTCACAGACAGGGGATTGACCAGTAGCTGATTCTCTACTCTCAAAAAAAGCTCAGATTCACAACCAGGTAAGTTTATTTCCTGCACTGACACGCTGTTCTCTAAGGATATTCTGAAGCATGTCCCTGGGTCTAAGAGCCAGGAAAGAGAGAAATATCTTACAAATCATTTACCCAAGTACTTTACCATGACTAGCTTTCTTTCTTTTTTGCAATCATTTAAAAAAAATTTTAATGTTTTATTTTTCCCCAATTATACTAGCTTCTTTTCAACACAAAAATAAAAGCCAAACCCAAACAACAAACAAACAAACAAAAAAGCTTAACAGAAGATCCTTCCCAGCCCTGGTATGTAGATGCTACAGACGTCTATATGCATGCACTTGGTGACTTTTCTTACCGTTGCTGAGTGAGTCTGAGCTTCCTGGGCTGTGCTGCCTGGAGATGAGCTCGCTCCCGGCTTTCCTGGTCTCTGTGTTCTCGCTGCACCGTCTCTTCCAAAAGTTGAGTTCTTCCCGATCAGTTTCCTGGCAGCGCCGCAGGACGGCCATGGAACGTCGGGTTTTCTCTACCATCTCCATGATGCAGTTCAAAGCCTGGGAACGAGAAGATACGGGATAAACTGGAAATTATCAACAGAAGGAAGGAACTAGAGTTGAGGAAGACTGGGGAAGGTGGAATTTTAGCTCAGAATAGATGGAGGTGAGGATGGAGAGCTTTCCAGACACTAAGGGCAGCCAGCATCACTGGACTGCAGAGTGTATTGAGGGGTACAAGGTGGAAGAAGTATAGAAAAAGGGATAGTGGTGCAGGCTAGTTTATTAAAGGGGTGTGTGTGTGTGTGTGTGTGTGTGTGTGTGTGAGAGAGAGAGAGAGAGAGAGAGAGAGAGAGAGAGAGAGAAAAGAGAGAGAGAGAGACAGACAGACAGACACACCTGCTCTGTGGCAGCAGGGTGGACTGCAGTGGAGAGGCTTGTGCCAGGTGGACCACCCAGCTAGCTACTCTAATAGTCCAGGCATGAGGTGATGAGAGTCTGTGGTTGGGCAGTGGCAATGTCAGAGGAGAGAAAGGGGCATAATATGGTAGCATTTGTGAACGGGGTGGGTGAGAGAGAAAGGGTAAAGGTGGGAAGGGAACCAGAAGACAGCAGTGTCAATAAAACCTAGAGAAGAGAGCATAGCAAGAAGAAGAGAGTAATTGAGTGTCAAAGGCTGCAGAGAGGTCAAGAAGGATGAGAATTGAGAAAAAGCCATTAGATCTGGAAATCAGAGATCATTAGTAACTTTGGAGTTAGCACTTTTCAGCTGAGTGATGAGGCTGGAAGCCAGACTGTAGAGAGTTAAGAAGAGAGGGAGCGGAAAGGAAGTGCAGGTACCCATTGTAGATGGCCTTTTTAAGGGAGATTAACTAACCACCAAAGGCAGAAGAGAGGGGATGAGAGCTAGCAGAGATGGATGGATCCAGTGAGGGCTTTTTGATGATGGGGGACATGTGGACATGTTTGTAGGCAATAGGGAAGCGGCCAAGGGACAGAAAGGGATTGAAGATAATTAAGAGAGTGAGAATTAAAGGGATCAGTCTGCCGTAGAAGATGGGATGGAACGGATCGCTTGTGCAATGTAGTGAGGTTAGTACCAGCAAGAAGGGCCACCTTTTTTCCCCAAAAAATTTCAATTTATTATTCATTTTTAGCATTCTTTTCTTTTAAAAATTTGGGTTCCAAATCCTCTCCCTTACTCCCACCCCTCCCACTGAGAAGGCAAGCAATGATATCAATTATACACGTGAAACTATGCAAAACATATTTCCATATTATCCATATTTCAAGAAAAATAAAGGAAATGAAAAAAATGATACTTCAATTTGCAATCAGAGTTCATCAGTACTCTCTCTGGAGGTAGAGAGCATTTTTTCATCATGACTCTTTAGAGATTGCCTTAGATCACTGTACTGAAAAGAGTAGCAGTCTTTCACAGCTGACTGTCATTACAACACTGAAAGGCCATCTCTTCATATGAGATAGGGTGAAGGAAATCGTGGCAGAAGGCATTTGGGTGATGTGAGGTAAGGGGGAGAGAGGAGGGAGCTCTTGGCAAGGAACCGTGAAGTTAGGGTGTTTGAGAAGATATCAGTATATACTGAAGTGCCCTCATAAGATGGCAGGAGCTGAAGAGGAAAGAAAGACTGTGAACCACTGAACTCACTGAGAAAAAGATGTTCTGGAGATTGGTGGACAAGCATTACCAGAATTTTGATTGGGTGGTAGATATGGATTGGGTAAACCTCAAAGGAGGAAAAGTTACTGAGTGAAAGTAGTAGTAGAGGGAAAATCTGGAACCTGGCAATAGAGGAGGAGGAGTGTCCAGTGAGGGAGAGAATGAAAGTACAGCCAGTGTGGGAGGAGGACAGAGGGGCTATATTATCAGGAGAGAGCCAGATGAGAAGGGAGAGCCAGAAGATGGAAGGAGTGGGTGGGAAAGGAAAAGACTGAAGATGAACGTAAAGTTCGTCACCTATGGAGTGAGCATTCCAGAGAGAACAGCGGAAGGGGTGGGAAGCTTTAGAGTGGGACATTGGGAGAGCTGGATTGAGGCGAACAGGAATAATAACAATAACAAATCAACTGACATTTATGCAGCTCTTCAAGGTGCACAAAGAACTTGCTCCACACCAGGATCTCACTTTATTCTCACAACAACCCAGTAAAGTGGGTGCTATTGGCATTATCATCCTTGCTTTACAAACAAGGGAATTAGGGGCAGCTAGGTGGCACACTGGATAGAGTCCCAGCCCTGGAGTCAGGAGGACCTGAGTTCAAATCTGGTCTGATACTTAATAGCTGTGTGACCCTGGGCAGGTCACTTAACCCAGGCTGCCTCCGACAAATACACAAACAAATAAGGGAACTAAAACGAGGTTTAGAGGAGTTAAGCGATTTGCCAATAGGCACACAAGAAAGGAAGAACACTGGAGCTGGAATTCAAACCTAGCTTGAAGTCTGATGCTCTTTCCACTGCTCCACGATCCCAAATTATTACCTTTTGTTCTGCTACCTGCTCCAATCTCTAACCCCTCAGTACATTGTGGTGAGGCACCAGGGAGAAAACTACTTTACTTCATACTAAAATGGAATGACTGCTAGGTCTCCCTGTTACGGGCAAATTCCCCTTTCTTCAGAGCCCACTGCAGTCTGCTTACCCCCCTTTTGCAGTTTTCTGCTTTCACCTGGCTACTCTGTCTTCTAAGGTCAGATAAGAGGAATGCGCCCATTCTACTCACTACATTAACTCCCAACTTTTCCATCTTCACCTTCTGCCTTGTAGTGTACCCACATATCTAATTAACTTGGATGACACTAAGACAGGAAAGAAGAGCTGTCCAGAAGCTCTGCATCACAGGATAGAGCCACCAGGTTATCTGGGAATCATCCCACCAGGTGTCTTTGCCCAGAATTCTTACGTGATCCAGATGTTTCCACTCGTCAGCCCATTCTCTCTCTGTCAAACGGTGGTCCACCAGCTCCTCCTGGTAGCCTCCATTTAAGCCTGTGCAAAATGAGAGAGTACATATTCCATGATTAGGAGGGAGGTGCTCGGAAAGGCTTTCAGTCTTAATGTGAATTGGGCGACAGCTGTCGGGAGCCAAGGATGCTGGCGAAGGAGGCGTGGCTGAGCGATTGAGGCTGGGGGTCATACCATAGCCTGAAGATGCCGGCGATTGCCAACGCCTGTTTCAGATCTTAGGAAATACATTCACTCACAGTCTTAAAGCATGGTGGAAGAAACTAAGCCTTGAGAATGTATAGAAGAGAGGGCGAGTCTCTGCAGGGCAAGATCGGGGGTAATAACAGTAAGCTGACATGGTACTGGCGAGTGTAAGCTCTGGGAGAAGCAGACCATGTTCACAAGAATTAGGTGTGTGTTAAGCCTGGGGTCGTTGGCTCCACTGGGTGCTTGGGGATTTGGTATGGATGTGGTGGGGTGAGAGGAGTAGGGTTATGGCTGTTGTCTGTTTTAGTACCCTGCCCCTACACAGTGATACCAGTATCAGGGTGCCACGATGAGAAGCCCAGTCCAAGTCTATCTATATCTGCAGCCAGGTGGTGTGGTAGATATAGTTCTGGACTTGGGAGTCAGGAAAACCTGAGTTAAAAACCTGCCTCAGGCACTTACTACTTGTGTGATTCTGCCTCAGTTTCCTCATGTGTAAAGTGAGGGTAATAATAACTCCTACCTCACAAGGTTGTTGTGAGGATAAAATAATCTATCTAAAGTGACATATAAATGCAAGCTATTATTATTATAACCAGGAATTCCTTACACCAGTGAAATGACAGACCAGGGAGGGGGAAGAGAAACTTGAAAGGCAAATTTCTTTTCTTTTTTTTTTTTGTGTGAGGCAGTTGGGGTTAAAGGACTTGCTCAGAGTCACACAGCTAGTGTTATATGTCTGAGGCTAAATTTGAACTCAGGTCCTCCTGACTTCAAGGCCAGTGCTCTATCTACTGCGCCACCTAGCTGCAAATTTCTGAGTTTACTCTGTAGTCACAACGTAGTGGAAGAGGGTAGACTGGGGGCGGGGGTGAGAAGGGGAGGCAGCAGTGCAGGGAGAGAAGACAAGATAATTTAGAGCAGGAGGCATGAGAAGAACAGTATGACTGGGAAGGCTAGGCCCCTAACAACCGCTCACAATCAATCAGCATTCATTAAGCGCCTGTTAGATGTCAGGTATTGTTCTAAGGAACTCCAAGTCTAGCCTCCTAATGACTGTGCACCCACCTTATGTACCTGTGCCCAAAATCAGCCTTATCTTTCCTCTGTACTGTTTACAAATGAGAAAAAAACCAGGCAGATTTTAATAACATATGCCACATAGATACACTGCAAAAACTGTATGTAACAGAAGTTCACCACTTCACATCCAATCCTTTTTCCCTCTTCTTCGCTGACTGAAATGTTCGTGTTTATTGTTGGCTAAGTTAGTGAAAAAGAAAACTTAAATAAAAAAAGAAGAATGTTTATAGGGAGACTGGGATGCTGTGAAGCAGGAAGAGAGACCACTGTGAGAGCAGTGCAACTGCTTTGTAAGTTTTATGATGGCATAAACATGTGTGATTGGCTTTGTTTTAAAATTCACAATAAATCAACTTTATAAATAAAAGAAAAAAAGAAATTCTCTTTCCAAAGGCAAAATAAAAGAATTTCCAGACAACTGCTGCTATTGGTGTCTTGGAGCTCAGGGTGGGAGGCCGTCTCTGGTTAGAAGAGCATGGGACCCAGGGCTCTGCACATCAGAGCTGAAGGTCAGAGGAAGCATTCTGATGTCCCTGTATTTTACATTTTCACATGTAAGTCAATCTTGGTCTCTGCTTTGCTTCCCATACTAGGCTGCAACCTCTTGGAGGATAATCTCTAGCTCATGGCTGTAGGGTAGGGCATATTGTTCTAAGACTCAAAGGGGGTCTGTCTGCTGTGCTTTTGGCTGAGGAAAGAGAGAGGCCTGGGGAAGGTGCAGAAGCAGCTATGTGGGAGGGAGAAGCAGGCAACAGTGATGATGTTTAAAGACACACAAGCTAGGAGAAGAACTCCTGTCCAAGGAGACCTGGGTGAGGAAACAGCAAGGAATCACTGGTTATGACTTAAGGCTGGGGAATCTCCTTTTAAGACCCTCAGCTCAGCTGAGCTGGTCAATAGCCTGGCCCTCCTGCTTTCTTAAGAAATGCCCCAAGGCAAAGGTTTCCAAAGCTGGAGAGCCCTTAATACATCTCACTCCACAATCTCTCTCATTTTTTTTTAAGTGTAACCACCATCAGATTTTTCTTTTTTTTTTTTTACATTCAATTTTTATCTTTTTTTCCTCAATTGCACGTAAATAAAAATTTTTAACATTTAAAAAATTTTTGAGTTCCATATTCTCATTCCACAATCTCATAGCATCCCATTCCAAGGGTTGTAAATGGCCAGACTTGACCCTAGTATTACATTCCTCTGAGTCAGTTTTGCCCTTTAATAGCTAGCATTTATATGGTGCTTTAAGGTATGCAAAGCACTGTGCTTTTATTACTCTCATTTTACCGAGGTGGAAACAGAGGCACAGAGAATTAGGTGACTTGCTCAGAGTCACACAGTTAGTAAGCATTCAAAGCAGGATTAGAAAATCAGGTCCTTCTGACATCTTAAGTCTCCGCCATCTGTGGAATCACTGAGTGACCTTTAAACCTTGGTGCTCCTCATCTGTATGACTATAGTTAATACATAAGCTAAAAAAACAGCTCCCCTTCTAGGGACTACCCCATCCTATATGTACAAAGGGTTTCCTTCCTAAAAATGAATGACTTCCATTCAATTCCATTAATGTTTATGGAGCTGCCTACATCACATAAGGCACAAAGCTTGGGGTCGGGAGGAGGGGGAGACACAGAAATGAGCAGGATGAAATTGCTGTCATTAAGCAGTTTCTAGTCTGGAAGGAAGAACAAAACCAGGAAACAAATAACTATGGTCCAAGGCAGGCTCTGCAAAAGGCCCAAAGAGGGGTATGAGCAAAGTGCTGTTGGACGGAGAGACCAGCAGATGAGGAGAGACGAGGGGGCACATTCTAAACAAGGAAAACATGAAAAGAGGAATAATGGTGAGAAAGAATGGGATGTGTTTGGGGAACAGTGAGTTGATTGCATGATACAGGAAAAGTGAGAGATGATGCTAAACAGCCATTGGTTGAGTTCCGAGTCTACAGGGCCTTGAATCCCAGGCTGAGGAGCCTGGATTTTAATTCAGGAAGTGAATGAGAAAGGGGAGGTTTTTACTCAAGGGATGACACGATTGGAGAAGGTATAGGAAGTTTAATTTGGCAACAGTGTTTAGGATGGATTGCTGAAGAGGACTGGGAGAGAGGAAATTGTTACAATACATAGTGCTAGTAAGAGGGGGGGACCTGAATTAGGGTGATGACACAGTGGATAGAGCGCCGGGCCTGAAGTCAGGAAGACGCACCTGCCTGATTTCAAATCTGGTCTCAGACACTTACTAGCTGCATCACCCTGAGCAAGTCACTTCACCCTGTTTGTCTCAGTTTCCTCATCTGTAAAATGAGCTGGAGAAGGAAATGGCAAACCACTCCAGTATCTCTGCAAAGAAAACCCCCCAAAACGGGTTTGAGAATAATTGGACACTACTGAAACAACTGAACAAGGAGCTCTAAATTTATGACTTTGTTAGGCCTATTAAATCAAATCCATTTGTGACTAACATACCTCAAAAGCAGGGCCCCAAAGTAAGCACCCACCCTGTGAGAAATTACTGGCAGCTTAGCTAGAAAGAATGAGATAGGACAAGGTGATGGGTGTTTTGCCAAGTTGCCATATTCTCTCATTTTGAGGCTACTGAGGGCAGAGGTCACTCACTATAGCCAGGGTGTATTTTTTTTTTTTTGCTTTTTGGTGAGGCAAATGGAGTTATGTGACTTACCCAGGGTCACACTGCTAGTAAATGTCATTCATGTGTCTGAGACTGGATTGGAATTCAGAGCCAGGATGTATTTTGCTAAGAAGCCAGACACTGGGTCATGAATTGAAAAGATGAAGCAAAGAGAGACCTCCTCACCCCCCAAAAAAGCACAGCAAGAATTCCCTAAGGATATCGCTACTGGAGTCACCTTCGTGAGTCAAGCACCATGAGATGAGTTTCCCCTTACTCACAAAAGCCCAGTTTTCAGGTAACTGGTAAAACTCGGGTACTCAGGATAGAGGTTCTTAATCTAGGGGTCTCCGAAGTTTAAGAAACATATTTTGGTAATAATATTTCAAAATAATTGGCTTCCTTCAAAATACTATTTTCTTCCTCTAAAAACATTATTCTGAAAAGAGATCCATAGACTTCTCCAGATGGCCAAAGGCATCTAAGACATTAAAAAGGTTAAAAACCCCTAGCCTGGAGGATGAGAAGGCCAAGCCAAGGATATTAGGCCTTCTGTATCTCCTAGCACCAACACTGAGGGCAAGGATATGTAGGAGACAGGCCACTAGACTTAAGAGTCAGGAAGACATGGGTTTGCAGACTATCCCCGGTACTTTCCCGGATGGTTTTGTGGCTCTAGACAAGTCACTTAAACCTCCTTTTGCTTCTTGATTTTTAAAATGGCTGTCGTAATGGTGACTACCTTGCAGGGTTATTGTGAGTGTCAAATGAAATTATGGCTATAATCTCATTTATGATACTATTTAAGATATATATATATATATGTATATATATTATAATATAAAATGTTATGCACTAAATAAAATGCAGTATATTAATATAGGATATATACATTAATATAATATGCTAGTATACATAATATAACTGCACCGATATTAGGGATACCTTGTAGATCGCCATAGCCTCTTTGCTAATATTTTATTCCATATTTCTCCATTGTTTTTCACTAGAAATATTGGTCCATAGGTTTGAATGAGTTAGTGGGAAGTGACAGACATGTAAAGAAAAAAGAAAGGCCAATAAAACATAAAAAATTCATGGAACACAGAGTAATAAGGCAATTTTGTTACTACCTTGTGAAACTGAACATACACTTTTAAAAACAAACTGTACATAACCAAAGTTTTATAGTTGTCTATTGGAATGTTAGTACCTGTTTGTGATTGTTGAACTGATGACAAAAATAAAATAACAAAAAAGAGAAAATTAATGGAATTTTAGTTTGAGGTTTTTAACTTTCTTGAGAAGGCACAAAGGATAGAGAGTAGACCTTGGACTTAGGAAGAGCCGAGTTCACGCTGACCACGGGCAAGTGACAATTTCTCAGGGCCACCAGGCAACTCTTGATGACTCAATTACAGACAAGCTGCTGATCTGCACTGGTGGAGGGCATTTCTGATGCAGATGGCATCACAGGCCTGCCCGCCCCCCCACAACTCCCTTCAATTTTCTCCCTGACTCTTACCACCACCCTGCTTGGTTTTCTCTCTGGAGTACTGACAATAGAGACACACTGTATTGTTACTGATCAGGAAAGGCTTCGGTCTGAGGTAAGATATGATAGGTTCACGTGATTCTGTTGAATGGAAGAGAGCTCTATAGATGGAAAGAAACACTTGGCTTACCAAGCCCATGATGTCGGTCACTACCACCGCCACCGCCGCTGCCACGGATTTCTCGATGTTCCAGCAGCTTAGTGGAGTCTCTGTATAGGTGTGAAGTGGCAAAGTCTTCCAAGGTATAATGCTGGAGAGGCGGCGGGGTGGGATGGAACTGCCCACCAGGATTCATGAGGGGCAGGGAGAGAGCCGGGCTGTGCCTCGGAGCAGGGCTAATGGTGCACACCCTCTTGGCGGGAGGCTCGGGGGGGACTGGTTCTCTCTCAAAGCTGGGGTCTTCTCTCCTGCAGGAGAACCAGGGCAAGGCTGCTGACGATGCAAAAATCAGGGGCAGTGGGAGCACCCGGGGAAGCCTTCCCACTTCCCACCTCCCATCCCTCCCCAGGAAAAGTCCATCACCACGATGATGAACGACTCAGGTCTGGATACTCTACACCTCTTCACTTACCCTCAGTGGCATCTCCTCTCTGACTGGAGGCCTAGAGGGTCCCAAAGCCACCCTTGACAGGGGGCTCACCACCTTCCTGGCAATTCCACTCTCCATCAGCAGCAGCCCTGCCTTACTTCCACTCCACAGGCCAACATGCCCCCGTGGCAGGCACCCCTGATCTGCTCCCCTCCCACCCCACCACCACTCCCAGCTTCCTTTTGTGTGCTGTAGATCGTAAGCTCCTTGAGGTCAGGGACTGTCTTTTTATTATTTGTATCCCCCCAGGGCTTAATACAAAGCTTGGCACATAGCAGGCACTTAATAAATATTTATTGAATTGAATTGTCCAAACCTCACCGCAGTGGGGACTAAACAACAACTGCCAAGCCCTGTGCTAAGTGCAGGGAGAGACAAAGAAAGGCAAAGGGCAATCCCTGCCCTCAATGAGCTTACAGTCTAATGGGGAAGACAACAAGCAAACAAGATACATTCGAGGTAAACTGGATACAATGGACAAAGAAAAGGCACTTCTTAAGGGGGATCAGGAAAGGCTTCCTGCAGGAGATGGGATTTTAGCTGGGACTAAAGGAAGCCGGGAGGCAGAGATGAGGAGGGAGAATGTTCCAAGCACAGGGCAAAGGAAATCAATTCGCTGAAAAGAAAACAGAGAACGGAGGGAAAAAAGTGATAAAGGGGCTGGAAAATGCTGGGCCACGTTTACCTGTCAGGGCTGTGTCTCTTGCCATTCCCATGCACTTCGATAAGCAGCTCTGCAGAGTCAGCTGGGGAGGTGGTATTTGTGTTGAGCAGGAGATGTTCGTGCTGGGCCAGGTACTGGGAAGGGGTCTGCTTGGCTGCCCGGGCACAGTGCAGCAGCTCCCTCTGTAACAGGGGAAGGTTGGCCTAGAACAGAAGAGATCATGAGAGATGGCTTCTCCACCCCGTACAGTGCCTCTGGCTGTCCGGCACCTGTGACTTCCTCTTGGACTCAAGAATACATGAAAGAAAAGACCCTTTTCCCCGCTCTGGGTCTCTAACTCCCCACAGGTTTCCTGCTACCCTAGAGGTCCAGAGAAATGGTCTTCCTATGGGCTCAAAGCTCATCTTCTCTTTAAGCTACGGCTGGGAACCAAGGGCAGTGGGAGGGTGGAGGGGGCGAGGACAGCACCACTGTGGCCCAGGTGTCCAGGAAAGATGGGCTCCTGACTTAGCAAGGGCCTCCCAACGTGACAGAAAGGCTCGTCTTAGTGCTAACCACTGAACCCCCTGCTCTTTCTTATGAAGTTAATCACCTGCAAGGTTAAAATAGCAGCTTTCCTCTCTTTTCTGTGGGATGCTCCATTTGAACCAGAATTTGAAAACAGAATCTTTTAACATTAAAACGATGGGAAGAAATGATCAAATCTTTAAAAAAAGAACACAGCTGTCTAATACTCAGAGAGATGGTTTCTCCATCCCCTACCCCCGACCTCTGCATTTGTTATACACCAAGGGAAACATTAGGATCTTTGATGTGTTAGAAAATACTAGTTTTTAGCACATGAAAATCTGGAATCCCAGTGGACTGCAAGACCCAAGTCCTAATGGGAATCTGGTGGGAACAAAACTTGCTGATATTTATCTAACACTTTCAAAAGCCCTTTACAAAGATTATCTCATTTGATCCTCACAATAACCCCAGGTTAAGTGTCATTATTAGAGGCAGCAAGGTGCCATGGTGGATAGAGTGCTGGGTCTGGTATCAAATGCAGCCTTAGACACTTACTAGCTGTGGGACTCTGGGAAAGTCACTTAACCCTCTTTGCCTTAGTTTTCTCACCTGTAAAGTGGGCTACAGAAGGAAGTAGCAAATGTCTTTGCCAATATCCAATATCTTTGCCAGGAAAACTCCAGTGAGGTCATAAAGAGTTAGACACAACTGAAACAATTAATTGCCATTATTATCCCTTTTACCTATGAGGAAACTGAGGCTCTGGGCAGCTCACCAGGTGACTTGCCCAGTTATACAACTAGGTTAAGTGTCAAGGGCAATATTCAAACCCGTCTCTCTTAAATCCAAGCCCAGAACTCTGAGAACAGCACAGCAGAAGCCAAGGTGGGGAAGAAATAGTAATTCTAACTGAGAAACCATTTTCTGTCTCCGGCCTTGTGTATCACACAAATACATGACCCTCCCCCCACTCCTCTAGAAGTAAACCCTCACTGTAAAGATTATTAATAGCAGCTCTCTAATTTGAGAGTTGGGAGGAATGTGAGAGATCATCTGGTCTGATTTCCCCACATACATACACCTATCCCCCACCTTAGGGACCAGGGAAGGAAACCAAAGTCAAAAGTGGGGAAGTGACTTACCCAGGGTCACTGAGTAAGTAGAACCCAGACCATCTAGCTCCCAGTCTAGTGATATGAACCCTATTTCTCATAGTCTCCACTGTCTAACATCTGGGGATTTTGTTTGTTTTTAAAGCATTTAAGGGGATCTATTATGGGATCCTAGTGTTTCTCCTTGGGGGCTTTTTCTGGCCAGGAGTTGGGCTTATGGCTAGCTGAGACTCTAGGGCCTAACATGTATGTTACAACAAAAGGCAGACAGTCTTTGCTGGGAGGTAAGAACTCGGTCAAAACAGCACTCTCAAGGAATACACACACTTTATAATCCCCTGCAGCTGTCCTCAAGTCAACAAGTATTTATTAAGTGCTTACCGAGTGCCAGGCACTGTGCTAAGTACTGGAAATACAAATAAAAGCAGAAAAACAGTTCCTCCCCTCAAGGAGCACCCATTCTAATGGGAGGAGACAGCACAAAAAAACGAAGATGAAAAGAGTGTGCATGGGTGTGGGGAATGACTGGAACGGTACTTTCCTTAAAGTGGAGGGCTCTAGGAGGAACTGTCCAATGAGAGGAAGGGGCGCTTGAGATGAAGGGAACTTCCAGAGTGTGGAGGCTGCCGTGGCATGGTAGATAGAGTTTAGAGAATCCTGAGTGGAGCACAGAAGGGAATGAAGACATGGCTGGCCTGGGCACTCGCCTGAAGATGGAGGTTCTGCCTGATGTCCACGTGCACATCTCAGTAAGCCAAGGAGTAGCGAAGGGAATTGGGTCACTACATGTGTCTGGGGAGGGTCTGGCCTGTCTTCAAGGACACATCCAGAAAGATACTCTCTGCACACTTTCCACATGGGTCACAGTGAGACAGTCATCTCAAAGAAGTTAGCACACCCTAAAATCTGAAGGCAAGCAAAGCAACAGTGGGGAGCCCGGGAGCCCTGCTTCCCATTTGCTGTTCACTGCCTGATGGAGGCTGCGCTCTGCCCCCACAGAGTGCAGCACATGGAGAGGAGAGACAGGATGCCAGTTCTCACACTCGACTACGAAGACCTTTCGTTTTTAAATGTCAAAACCCTATAGCAATGACATGTGATTTTCTATTTCCCACTCACCACACTGGACACGTTTCAATTCTGCAAATGAAGCTATTCCTGGTGGCTAGTACAGACCACATCTGATACCTCTCATCTCCCAAAACTTCACATGGGCAAGGAGAGTAAACAGGGAGTAAGTATAACCAGACCTGCTATTGCCCAAGGTGAAATGGCGCCGGTTTCTAATCCTACCTCCTAGCCCTCTGCCAGAACCACATCTTCAGGTTCATTACCCGATAGGTAAAGAAAAAAAAAGTCTCTCCCACGGACAAGAGTCTCATAGGAAGGGCTGCAATCTACATCCCTGGAGAGAACATCCAGATAGATACATCTGAGGATTTAAATGTCTGGGAGGTAAACTGTGCTTCCTTGTTTTCTCTCAAGCTTCAACCAGTGCTTCCAAGTTCTGGCATTCTGGGATTCAGTTTCCCTTTGCCATACCCTTCATTATGTTATGGGCAATGGGACCCAAGGAGTTTTGGTAACGGACAGAATGTGACTGAGATCCACTCGGAGGGAGTCCCTAGCAGTAGCTGCAAGTATCTGTCCCTGGCCCTGTTCCATTCAGCATTTTTATCAATGGTTGGGTGAAAGCACAGATGGCTTATCGAGTGTGTGGAGATGATGGATGACAGAACCAAGATTCAAGTGACCTCAACGGCTGGAGTGATGGAGACAAAAATAAACAGCGAATTTAAATGCGAAGTCCTACAATGACAAAACGCCACATGTATGAGTACGGGAGGTGGGGGTGGGGGTGGCGACGGTTCTGAGAATAGGTCATATGACAAGAGACTTGGGGCGGGGGGTGGGGGGATGAGCAGGGCAGGAGTGAAGCATGGACAACACAGAAGCAAACACCAATGTGGAAGAAGAAAAAAAAAGTCCTTTCAGACTTCACTAATGAGGGTAATGTCCAGAACAAAAGACAGGGAGGGTCTCACCAGCCTCTGCTATACCTATTTAAGGAGGAAGATTGATAGGCTGCAGACTGTCTGAGAAGGTCATAGGGGCAAAGGGTCTGGAAGCCATATTCTTCTCTGAGGATTGGTGGTTGAAGGAATGGAGATGTTTGGAGAGAAAAGGGAGGGGGAGGTGAGGGAGAGAAAGAGAGAGAGAGAGAAAAAGAGAGAGAAGGAGAGAGGGAGGAGAGAGGGGGGAGGGGGAGAAAAAGGGGGGCAGAGAGAGAAAGAACACATGCATACGTAAGGAAAATAGTCAGGTTTTCACTCTACTCAGCGGACATAAACACAGTGGATAAGGTATGCAACATTCTGTACCCCAAAGTCTACCACCTCCTTCTCAAGAAGAGGAGGGTGTTTCATTATCTGTCCTCCTAGCATCTAGGTTGGTCCTTGCATTTATTCCGAAACCTGGTGTGTTTGGCCATTTTTACACAGAACAACGAACAAATATGTTTTTGCCAGGATTAACGGGCAGAAATCCAAAGGATGAGAATTCCAGGTCAACTGAGGGCTGCCCAACAATGTCACAGGCTGCCTTGTGAAATACTAAGCTTCACATCAATGAAAGAGCTCAGGCAGCGGCCTGGCTTGTCAGGAACGTGACATCTCTAAGAATCCATGATTCTGGCACCCAGGACTCAGTCGCTAAATCTAGGAAGCATTTTGTTGCTTGTTTGGTGTAAAGAGCACTGAATTTGGAGTCAGAGGTTCCATTTTTGGACTCTGGATCTGTGTGACCTTGGGCAAGTCATTAACTTCTCTAGGTCTCAATTTCTTCCTCTGTAAAATGACAACTAAGATGGGCTACATGCCAACCAAGGTACCCTTCCAACTCTAAAACTTATGGGTCTCTAATGTCGGTCAGGACGCTTAGGGATATGCAGTTTTTTTTGGCTTTCTTTTCTTTTTGGTGAGGCAATCAGGGGTTAAGTGACTTGCCCAAGGTCACACAGCTAGTAAGTGTCAAGTGCCTAAGGTCCTCCTGACTCCAAGGCCAGAGCTTTATCCACCAAGCTGTCTAGTTGCCCTAGGGGGGAACATCTGGAAGGAAGAAACCAGGGGGTCTAGCAATATTAGATCTACAGAACGAGAAAGAAAGGATGCCCCAACCTTTTCGGTTTCAGGGACAGAAAGTACGAGGTGCCTCTAGCGGGAAGTGTGTTGGGAAGTAGTGTGGGTAGGCCTCAAACACCTAATTTGTACCTTGTCCTGCTGACCAGACTGAGAAGTGCTGGTAGGACTGGTAATAATGTTACCCTAATTAAAGTTTCAAAAAGAAATGCCTTAATTATTTGGCATCCAAGTTTTTAATCTTCTTCATTAGTTGACTATCCATTTCCTTTAGGTGGTGGGTCAAAGGAAAGAAAAGAGGTGATACGATACGATTGGAAAAAGCCTTATTTGATGGAAGTCGGGGGGGGGGGTCAGAGTTTGAATTCTGTCTCTGCCATGAACTACCTCTTTGTGACTCTGAGCAAATCACTTCACCTTTCTAAATCTCAGTTTCCTGACCTGAAGGAGCTTAATGGATGGCTTCTATGGTCCCATCCTTTGAAATCCTAGGAATTCTGTGATTATTTTGTTCAGGAGGCAGCTCATTGGACAGAGCTCTGGGCCTTAGTAAGAAGACCTGAGTTCAAATCTGACCTTAGATACTCACTAGCTGTGTGACTCTGGCAAAGTGTGCCTCAGTTTCTTTCACTATAATATGGGAGTAATAATACCACCTACTTTCTTTTTTTTTCTTTCTTTTTTAAGCTAGGTAATGGGGTTAAGTGACTTGCCCAGGGTCACACAGCTAGTAAGTGTTACGTGTCTGAGGCCAGATTTGAACTCAGGTCCTCCTGACTTCAGGGCTGGTGCTCTATCCACTGCGCCACCTAGCTGCCCCAATACCACCTACTTTCCAGGAATGTCATGAGGGCCAGAGATACTTGTAAAGCATCTAGCACAGTGTTCAGCACATAATAAGCGCTATATAAATATTAGCTATCATTATCATTGTTATTATTATCTGGGAAATAGGGATAACAATAGCATCTACCTTCCAGGGTTGACCAGAAATATTTGTAAAGAACTATGCCCAATGTCTGACTCATACCAGGTGCTATATAAAAGCTGATTCTCTTTTCCCTTCCCCTTTCTTCCAAACTTAAAATTGTTACTGAAGACCAGCCCTAGCTAGAACTCCAATACCTGAATTTAAAATTTCAACTGTATGAATTCTTTGCACGTAGAAAGTAAAGATTGCTATCATGTTTATAAAACCCCAATTTAAGAATGGAGGTTTTTTAAAAATCATCTCTAAACATATAATCTAAAAATACATCTAAAATCAAATTAAATCTGAAATAGAACCAAAGCTGACTTTACTCCTAAAAGGAAATGGATGATCAATTTTTTTTCTTTTTTTGCGGAGGGGTCAGGGTAGTCCAGACCTGTGATTTCATCTCTGCATGAACTCACTAGTGTAGAAAGGTCTCTTGGATGCAGCTGGGTAACCTGTTTGTAAGTGGCAGTCGGAAAGAGCTGCCCAGGTTTGTGAGAGGGGAGGAGACTCAGCCAGGGTCACACTGCTAGGATGGGTCGGAATCGGTCTTGCGCCCTGCCTTTCTGACTTGGGGCCAGCAGCTCCCTATGAATCATGCTGCCTCTTGGCTCAGGAGAGGGACTGAATGTGCATGCATGAAGCCAGCTCTGCAGGAAGGGTTAATACAGCCAGCACCCTCATTAGCGTCTGGAGCTGAAAGAAACTGACAGCAGCCCCAATGCCAAAAAGCTGCCACCATGTCCATACTGCCTGCTGTGTGCCCAAACAGCAGAATGAAGGAGGGAGGAGGGCCTGGCCAGGCACAGCAGTCACAGAGACACGCTTACTGTTCTAGGCAGAGGAACAGCAGACACTCGGGATTAACATTTTTTTTTTTAAAGCACGCCTGATCTTTGCATTTTGGCGCGGAAAGTGGGAGGGGGGTGGTGAGCTCTGCCTGTGTTCAACCTGTCTTTTGATGGATAAAAACATACTGTAATTATTTCTTAGGATAACAAGTCTGTTAATGCTTTCATGATTCCGGAGTCTTGTGGAACATATCTGCCTAGGAGATCTTGTTGAGATGGCACAGCCGCAGCTGTGTGGGGTGGGGTCGGGTCAAAAGAGCTGTCCATACAGAACCACTGCAGATGACTGACCAATTAACACTACCACTACCTGGGTAGGCAGGCCCTCCTCACCTGAAGACTGTCTTCTGTAGTCAGATAGGTTGAAAAGTTAGCATTTTGAATTTTTTTCTTATAACTTATTGTTTTCCACCTCCTTTAGTTACGGGGGAAAGTCTTCTGAAATGGGACAATAAGTAGCAAATACAATCAACATCTCACTCATCCAGAAGTCACAGACCAAATAATCTCAATTATCTAACAGATCCCCCTCCCCCATTCCTGTAAAGGTTAAAAAAAAAAGTCCCTAAGTAATCAAAAATAGTTGGCATAAAATCCATGCACTTTATAGGCACTTGCTCATGAGCCTGCTGACTCCTATTTTACTCACTGTTCTAACAAGCTTCGTTATCTTATTAGCTTGCCCAGATCAGCTTAGAACCAGAAAATCCGGGGTTAGGGCAGGGGTTGCTGCAGGTAGGTATATTTATTGTTGCAAGAAACAACCAGTCATTGTGAGGGAGGAGTCAGAGAAACAACATAAAACAAACTCCTAAAGCCTAGCGGTGAGGGCCACATCAGCGTAGGGCCTACCTCTAAAGGCCACAAATAAGATCTCTCAGTCGCCTTCCCCTTAGAAAGTCAGCCATTGCCAATGTCTCCTTCCTCATCCTCCCTGCCCTGTCCTGTCCCTTCCCCTCCCCGAAGCTGCTCTTGGGGTGGGGGCCCTACACAGCACTTTGGAAGGAACAAAGCGCAAGAGGGAACAGATGGCACCTCCTGAATCATGAGTGAGGTTGGTGTAGCCACGGGAGATCAGGCAGGGCTCACCTCTTCTTGCCCTCTGGAAGCGGGAATCTCAGCAGAGACTTCCAGAGGGCAAAGCGGAAAAGGCTGGGGGTAGCTGGACTTCATGCCCTAGCTGACTTGGAATTGCCTGTGGGGGTGAAGGGCTAAGGATAGCGACTAAAGACTCGTCCAAAGTCATCAGGACTCTGTGATGAGAGTGTCACAGCTAAAATCTGGAGCTGGTTCAGGTCCGACTCATTTGTAGCAGAGATCCTCCCAGCCACTTCTCTTTCCTTGTTCCTAGAATCCCCCAGGACAGCACTATCGGGATTTTCTCACTCCTTTCCTGACCAACCCCAGCCTTGCAGCCAGAAGCGAGAGCTTTCACTTGCTTTCCTTTGAAAACAGCCCACCAGTGGCAGATCCCAGTGGCCTGGCCTGCCTACTCATTCCTACCAAGGTATTAACTGATAGCTATAACCACACCTTCCTCGGGTCTTTACATTTGCAGAGAAGGGGTGTGTGGGAAGCCCTCCCTTCCCTATCCCTTCAGCTACCAGACCCCAAGAGAAGGGGACACACGTTCCTATGTACCCCAAATAAATATGGGCCAAAGGCTTTCCTATGTCAGATCTGGAAGCGGCTGCACCACCTTGTGGTTACAAAGGAGAGTGCTGAACTGTGAGTCAGACGACCTGAGCTTGGACACAAATAACCTAGGGCAAAGCCATGCCACCTTTCTGGGCCTCAGTTTCCTCCACTGTAAAAAGAAGGGGTTGTGTGGCAGACCTTGGAAGTCACTTCCATCTCTCCATTTACTACCCTACGAGCTGGGTTCAAAGCCCATCTTTGATATTATTGTAGGGTGGTCTTGGACAATTTATTTTTCCACCCTGGCCGTCAGCTAGAGTTACCTCATCCTTAAATGAGGGGGCTGGACCAGGTGACCTCGGAGGTCCCTGGAAGCTCTAAATGAACAGTCTTGCTTTTGTAAAGAAGAATGCCTCCTCCCCCCTTCATTCCTGCAAGGGTGATTAAGAAATCTGGGATTTGCCTGTCACCTTGGAAAGGCCTGCTGAGTCCTGCTCTGAGAGGGCGAACAACTTTTTAAAAACTGAAACCTCGGAAGCTGGAAATCGATGCCTGGAGGGTGGGGACTGGGATGCCCGGGGCGGGGGGGGGGTGGGGTGTAATCACAGAGTGCTGGCCTTGGTCCCTGGGGAATCTGGGCCTTGCCTGTTACCTTCAAGAATGGAATCACAAAGGGACGAAGAGGAAAGTTGGTGGCCTCTTGCAGCTTACAATGGAATTCCTCAATGGTCACCGTGGAGTTCTGCAAAGAGGAAGGATAAGAGTTGGAGGGGGACACTCAGAAAGCACCCCCCCAACCCCAAACAAGCTCCTTTTGTCCACTTTCCTTTGTCCACTGCTGCCAGGCCGCATCTTAGGCTTCTAACACCCTGCAGCTGCCTCAAAGGTCCCACCAGACAGTGCTGCCCCTTGACACCTCAGGGGCAAGGATTCCATGCTTGAGCAGGAACTTGTCCCTGCAGGATTGTCTCCACCGTGACAGAGGATAAGCAGATGCCAGAGCTGCTGACAACTCGCCACCGCCCTTCCCCCCAAGATGGTCCCCAGGCCACCAGAGAGACTTGGGTGGCTAGTGCTAGGCAGCATTCTCATTCTGGATTTCAAAATGGGCTTTTCCCAGAGGCTCAGAGGAAAAGGGTGAGGGGGACAAGGAAGGTAAGAAGGAGGGAGAAAAAGGAAGAAGAAGAGGAAGAGGAGGAGGAGGAGGAAGAGGAAAAGGAAAAAGAAGGCAACAGAGACAGTAGAAGAGAAGGAAAAAGAAGAGGAGAGGGAGAGGAGGAGAAAGAAGTAGAAAAGCAAGAAAAAAAGGAAAAAGGAGAGGAGGAGGGAGGAGAAGGAATGAAAGGAAGAATAGGAGGAGGGAGAAGAGGAGAGGTAGAAGAGAAAGAAGAGGATGAGAGGCAAAGGAAAAAACATTAACATATTCCTTCTTTTACCACAAGTTTCAATGGAACCCTCAGAGTGCCATTCTTATTTCCTTCATTTCAAGTCTACAATTCAGACCAAAAGGGAAACAGGGAGAGGAACACATCAGCTTCTCCCCTCTCTTCGGAACGTCAGGCAGGAGGTTTGATTTCAAAGCTTCCCAATAAAATGGAGACAGGTCCATCCAATTCAGTTGGGTAACATCTTCCTATCTTCCTTGATTTCCCTTGGAAAATGGAAAGCTCACCCCAAAAATCTAACTCTTCACTCTTTAGATAGATAACTGGTCAATTGCAGAGGGCGCTAACATTGCAGGGAGAATCAGAGACAAAAATTGTTTGGATTCAAGATCTACAGGGAGGGTGAGTAAAAATCCATTGCTGTGGTTTCAAAGTAACATTTAAGCTACTGTATAAATCTGGGCATTCTGAATATTTGACTGTGTGCAGAAGGAGAGAAGTGAACATTGCACTTTATGAGTACTGTAAACAAGTGGAAAATGCAATTCTTGTCCTCGAGAATAAAATCTATTTAAAATTGGCCAAAAAAAAATCAATTGCTGCTGGTCTCAAATGGGGGAGAAAAGACTTTTCATTCGTTCATTCATTTCATCAATATGAGGGGAAGTGTCTAGAGGACTTAAGAGTCTAGAGACATTGTGGCTCTGAGTTTAATAGCTTGGAGGACCTTGACCAAGACAAGTCACACCTCTGAGCCTCAGTTTCCTCAACCATAAAATGAAGGAATTAGACCAGGTGGCCTTTAAGATCCCATTCAGCTCTCATCTAGGATTCTATGATCCTAGGATAGTAAAGTACTTGGGAAATCCTAAAGTATAATACGAAAGAATTCACAAAAGCAAATAATTATTATTTTTAAGGCTCTGGCTACCAGAGCAGCATCTATCTGGACATGCTGGCAGTAGTCTAAGTGAGAGAGATGCTCAGTTCACAGACCTGGAGTCTGAGATTTAAACTTTTCCCTAGATTATCTGAGCAACTTTAGATAAAAAAGATAATATCTGACACTTGTGTTGTTGAGGCGCTTCAGTTTTGTCTGACCCTTCATGACCCCATTTGGGGTTTTCTTGGCAAAGATACTGGAATGGTTTGCCAGTTCCTTCTCCAGCTCATTTTACAAATGAGGAAACTGGGGCACACAGGGTTAAGTGACTCGCCCAGGGTCACACACTTAGTCTGAGGTCAGATTTGAACCCAGGAAGATGAATCTTTCTGATTCCAGGCCTGGCACTCTACCCACTGAGCCACCCAGCTGCCTCTGACACTTAGGTCAAACTTAAACTTTCTGAAGAGCTTTACACAGCACATTATCTCATCTCGCCCTTCTTCATGCAGGACAATTTATTTCCCACTGCTGCCTTCCATACCTTGAATGCACTTTCTCCTCACTCCTGCCTCTGAGAATCCCCAGTTTCCATCAATACTCACCCTTGGTGCCACTTTCTGGGCCTTCCTGATCTGTCTCTCCCTGTCTCCAAACCCCCTCTCTGTTCACCTACCACTGTCTTTGTCCCCCCAGATTACCTTTTATCTATTTGGCAAATATCAAACACAGCAAAATACCCATACACCTGTATGTGAATGTCTCCCCCAAGAGAACATAAGCTTCTTGAGGGCAGAGACTACTTCCCTTGTGTGTCCTTGGTATCTGCACAGAGTAGGCATTTAATAAATGCTTACTGATTGAGTGGATTGACTGGTCATCATACAACCCTCTGAGGCAGGCACCTCTCTCATCATGCCCATTTTATAGATGAGGAAAATGAGGCTTAGAGGGATTAAGTGACTTGCTCCTCACAAGCAGCTGTCGTCACATAGCTAATAAATGTCAAAGCCCGGATCTGAGCTCAGATCTCACCCAACTCTGACCCTGGCATTCTTTCTGCTGCATTATGCTGCCTCTAATAATCCAGGTGATAAGTAAGGAGAGTTTTGTCTACGGAGCCGAGTAGAGGCACGCAGCATCTCCCATCTCAGAGACTTGGAGTCACGCTTCACAAGAATTCATGGGCAAAGATACTTAAGATGGGGGCCGACACCAAAAGGGCATGAGACATCCAAAGCCCCTTCCCTAGCCAGGGTCAGCACCAGCAGCACCTTGGCACCTCGTATGGAACAGCTGGTGGCTTATACATGCTGGAATCCAGCACTGACCCTGCTGAAAGCAACAGCAAGAAAGTCCACTGAGCAGTGGACATGAGGAAATCACAGCTTCCCTGCATCACCTCGTTCTTAGGGGTCCCGAATGCAAATGTGGCAGCTACAGAAATAACGTGTGCTCGGCAGTTTGGAGGGAAATGCCTTCCTGTGAGGTGCTGAGCGGCAGGAGCCCCTTGGAGCTGTTCACAGACACTGCAAAGCTTGTAATTTGGAAAATTATTGTTTTGAAAATTAAACCTGAGGCTCAGTTTTCTCCTCTTTATTTTGGAAAGAAGGTCATAGGCATATATGACCTAAGAAATAAAAACCCTGGCCCGATTCTGCTGAACGTCGGTCTGCTGTGAAACGGTTAAGGAGGCTGAAGAAAAGAACCCTGGCAGGTTCATCAGACCTGAAAGGCGGCCAGACAAAAAAGATACTGCAACCACAGTAAAGAGCGTAACAATTCTTGGATTAACACCCTTACTATGAGTTCAATCCAGATCAGCGTGCATTTATTGAGTGAGCACTATCGGCCAGTCACTGGGTGAGCTCAGGGATAGGACAAGGAAACAAACAGCCCCTGCCCCCGAGGAGTTTACATTCTGCACGATTATGAGAGAACAGAACACACAAATACTGGAGAACGGAATGACGATGGCCTCTTGGAACTACCAAGTTCCTGTCATTCTGGGGTAGAAAAGAGAGAGGCTCAGACAAAGGGAAGGAGAGTCGGGCACTACAGTTGTGGAGGATGGGAAGGGCTGTTATACTTACTACCAAAGCCAGGACGAGGGTCCGAACCTTCTCTCCAATCTCAGGGGAAATGTCATTACCAAACTGCTGGAGGGTAGTCAGAAAGCGCTTCAGTTTACTGAGCTGTCGGGCCCCACAGGTAGCAGGGAGCTGCTGATTGGTGAGCGATGAGGACGAGGACGACGCAGGGCCGTTGCTGAATCTCTGTGGTGGTGATGGAGCGCCATTCAAGGTGGGTGGGGAATGGTTAATCCCATTGGACACTGAAGAGGAACACAGACAGAGAACCCTTGGTAAGTGACCTGTACAAATCAAGACCCTCAAGGCCAATCCTGTCTCTAATGCCTTCTGCTTTTGAGGCCTAGGCTGCTGATGTTACAGACAGGTGACATCTTGGATGACAAGATTCAAGATTCTCTCCCCACCCCCGACCCCTACTCCAAGTCTTAGCAGACTTGAATGATGGACCCCTTCTAAGAAAATGCAAGACTTAATATCAAGATAAATGTGAAACCCTACATTCAAGTCCAAGAAATTAACTTCCCAAGATGTGGGAGGCGTGGCTAGACAACAGTTCACGTGAAAGATCTTAATATAATGTATCAACAATGTGACACAGTGGAGCCAAAAAAGTGTGTGAGTGTGTGTGTGTCTATGCACTGTTTATAGTACTGTGAAGGCAGGGTGGCATACGGCTGACTGTGAAGCCAGGAAGACCCAGGTTTAAATTCTGCCTGTAACATAGACTGGCTGTAGGATCCTTAATCACTTCCCCAGGGTTAGGGTTCTACCAAACTTTCTAAAACTCTAAGCTGAAGAGATGGTGCTGATCTGCCCTTGGCAGAAGGAATCTCCTCCTTGGACAAGTTTCCTATACCAATGAAAAGTCCAGTCTCTGTGTCTAGCTCGAATACTGAGAAATCAGACTTTGGACAGAATTAATTTGCTTCTTATTAATTAAAATTACAAATACTGATACTTATGCTACAAGGGGATTCTACATGCTTTTCAGTATAATTTTCCAGTCGAACACACCACAAAAATCAGCTTGATGCTCAAAGTGGTTTGAGAGGGAGGCTGGGTCATTGAGAGGCTAATTTACTAAAGCAAATGACATTCTCTACATCCAGAAGGCCCTCTCTTTCCCCCTTCCCTCTCCACCCTGCCCCCAACCTTTCCTTTTGTTAATATTCTATTCCTCCTTCAAGCCCTAGCTGAAATGCCAACTCCTTCAAGCAGTCTTCTCTAATCTCCATCTTCTTCCCTTACTTGTACCTGAATTAAAAAATAACCTCTCCTCTCCTGTTGTTGCTGTTCAGTCAAGTTTAACTCTTCGTGATCCCATCTGGGATTTTCTTGGCAAAGATACTGGAGTGGTTTGCCATTTCCTTCTCCACCTTGTTTTAAAAATGAGGAAACTGAGGCAAATGGGGTTAAGTGACTCACCCAGGGTCACACAGCTAGTTAAGCGTCTGAGGCCAGATTTGAAGTCGGGTCTTCCTCATTCTAAGCCCAGCGCTCTAGCTTCCTCCTGTCTCCCCTCCAACGAACACTTATTCCATCCTGTTCATAGCTCTTGTTTGTTTATACTTTATTGTGGGGAAAGGACAATGGAATTGGAATTAGAGGACATGGGGCCAAACTCTAGCCGTGCTGCTTACCAGCTGGGTGACTTTGGGCAGCTCACTCAACCTGTTTGGTCGCCAGCCTCTTCCCCTATAAAATGGGAGTTGGCCTGAAGGGCCTCCAAATTGCTTTCTAGTTCTGAATCTATGACCCTTGGCTGGTGCATCTGCTGTCCAGGGCTAAGGCCAAGGCTCATGACCAGCTAGGCTACAGGGGGATGACTGTTTTGGCCATGGCCACTCTCAACCATTATCTAGCGAAGGGCAGATAGAGGGGCTGGATCTGCGTTGTTTACTGCATGAAAATGGCCAGCAAACATGGAGCCCTCGCCTCTCGCCACCGCTCTATGATCTGTCTTACTGCCTGTGTTTCCACTGAAAGGTCAGTTGTTTTTGGAACACTGCTCTCCTCTCCAGCGACCCCATAAACACCCTCCTACCACCGTCAGCGCCACATCACCAACCCACCCCGACTGTGTGCTCTTCTTCCCACAGGCCTTAGCTTAAAGGAAGCCTTTCTGACAGCCAGCTTAATAAAAGCTTATTATGACCCAGCCTTTTCCCAAATAAAACATACCCACCCCCAAGTGGCCAAACATGGAGATAAAAAAGGAAGACATTCATGTAGGCCTCTGAAGTCTAAATACCAGGAAATGTTTATCAGGTAATTAAGGTCTGCTTCATTTCAAGATACACAGGCCTGTTTAGACCAGAAGCCACAAGTCAGTAACTGGTTTTGCTCAGCACTCTCCAGTGGCCTCATTCACCTGGGGCTAAAATCAATCCACAGACCAGCTATTTAACTTCAAGGGATCATATCTGTCAAAGAAAATGAGGCCTCTGGCTAAATGCTCGCATTGAAATCTCTTGGGCCTCTTCCTCACTGACCTTTTGCTACATGAGGGCCAACTTGGTGCTTAGCATGGATGGAGCCCTGGATCAGAAGGGTAGAGGACCTGTGTGTGAATCCCATGCCCTGTACCTCCTTGGGTCAGTCCCTAACTTCTTCTTGCCTCAGTTTCTTCATCTGTAATACTAATAACAGCTAACACTTATATAGTGCTTACTATATCCCAGGCATCGTGCTAAGCTTTCTTACAACTATCTCATTTGATCCTTACACGACCCTGTGAAGTAGATGCTATTATGACCCACCCGCCACCATTTTACAGATGAGGAAACTGAGGCAAAAGGAAGTTAAGTGACTTGCCCAGGATCACACAGCAAGTGTCAGAGGCCTGATCTGAATTCAGGTCTTCCTGACTCCAGGCCTGGCGCTCTGTCCACTTTGCAACCTAGTGGATTAGCTGAGGGCGTTAGACTCAGTGTCCACCAAGGTCCCTTCTAGCTGTGATTCTATGATCCTGGGACATTTTCCACTGATGCCCACACTGATGAGTGATTAGCACTGGGTGGCCCTATGTTGGAGCAGGCCCTGTGTTACCTAAGGCTCCTGCCATCACTGTAGGCCTAGTTATTTTGCAAGCAAAGTCCTTTCTGCTTGGAGGCCCAGAAATTATATTAACCCAGCCTGCAGAGACGTGTAATTTCTTCCCTCTTCTAAGGATGATTTTATTCCCCATCTGCGGACACTAGAGTTGGACTTAACAGAATTAGAATGTGGTACTCATGGGATGGAGCTACTGGGTATGGCAGACTGGAGACCGGGAGCAGTGAACAAAAGAGAAAAATCAGGGGCATGGATCAGTGTGTGAGGACACCCCCAGAGGCTACCCAGAGTTTGGGGTCATGGTTGTCGAGAAGCATGCTATATAGGGAGGGGAAACTAAGGTAGATGCAGTCAATAAATAAGTATTCAGTAAGCATCTAAAATGTGCCAGGCATTACATAGACACGCTTTCCCATTCCACAAAGAGCTGCTTCTATGAATCCTCACATGGGAAGAAAAAAAAAGCTAGTTTAACCAGCATCTGGTGATAGTCAAGCTGGCGTTTTGGAAATTGCCCTAAAATTCCAATAACGTAGAATATTTGGAGTCCTAAGCATCTTGAAAATCCAAGATAATCATTTAAATTGGCCATTTTAACTCTGCTCAAAAAGAAACACAAAACTCCTCAGGCAAAAATGATGTGGTAAAACCAAACAGAGCACCAGGTTCAGAAATAACCTGGATCAGGGAAGGTCTGAGAGACAGCACAGCAGACTGTGAGCTGACTTCTAAATCAGGAAGACCCAAGCTCAGATTACACCTCTGACACCTACAAGCTGAGTGACCTTAACATCTCAAGTGCTGGGTCTGAGGAGCTTGTTTTTTTAAAAAAAAATTCTGACAATGAATCTCAACATAATTGGTTTCCTTGGTAACCCTATACATTTATTTATTTGGCTAGGTAATGGGGTTAAGTGACTTGCCCAGGGTCACACAGCTAGTAAGTATTATGTGTCTGAGGCAGAATTTGAACTCAGGGCCTCCTGACTCCAGGGCCGATGCTCTATCCACTGCACCACCTAGCTGCCCCAAAGTATCTTCTTTTTTGGGGGCTAGGTAATAGGGTTAAATGACTTGCCTAGGGTCACACAGCTAGTAAGTGTCAAGTGTCTAAGGCCAGATTTGAACTCAGGTCCTGCTGACTCTAAGGCCGGTGCTCTATCTACTGCACCACCTAGCTGCCCCAATTCTATGCATTTAAAAACATTACTCTGAGAAGGGGTCCATCGGATTCACTAGACTATCAAAGGGAAGCCCCCTCCCCCCCCCAATTAGTAAAACCTCTGCCCTGAGAGTATAAAGTTGCCAAAAAAAAAACCAGTCAGCACCTTACATTGATAAAGGGAATTCCCTATCCTAATGAGAGCAGAGGTCCTGTTCCTATCCTTATCTGATCTCCTGGGTACTTCTGGTGGGTGAGAAAAGGAAACACCAGTGTTGCCTCATCATCCCTTATCTCCTAAATATTACATTAAAGTAAGTCAGGCAAGTGCTGAAAAGGAGGGCAGGCAATCTCACATGCTGTAGGGGTGAAGGAGCTCGGGCGGGGCCCGCCAGGGTTGATGGGTGGCCGTGGAGGCATGGTGGGAGGCGAAGATCTTGACTGTATTTTCACTTCCACGGGGGATCCAGGCATCGCTGGCACCCTCTTCTCACTAGCAACTGTGAAGAAGAAAAAGGATACTTATGTCAACAGGTGGACTCACAGGTGAGACACGTTATATAGTGAGACACAAAAGGCAACTCTGGGAAATAGGAGAATTCAGAACATTGTACCAAAGAATGGGAGAAGGCCCGAGAGGCTGTACAATCCAATGTCCCCCTTGCAGTTTTTTAAATATGAGGAAGCTGAGGCTCCGAGGGGGAAGATAACTCCCCCACAGTCACAAGTGAGTTTGCAGCACAAGGACTAAAACCCAGTTCTTCTGGATTTCAGACCTATAGGGTTTCCTCTTTACCACTGCCACTGGAACTGGACTCTGTGATGTTCTCTAAGAGGCTAACCAGAAAGCTTCAGAGATGGCATTTCCTTCATTCCCAATAACCCTTCAAGATGGGTAATGTCACAGGTGTGCAGGAGCCGGCTGGCCACCGCTCTCACAAAACCCAATTTGTTACACTTTCAGTGTGAGCATTTGGACTTCAGATTCCTGCAAACACTACGAGTCAGGGTTTGATTTACTATTTTGTTGATGGCCTAGACGTAAGAAAGAGATGAAGAAAATGGTAAGAATGCAGATTAAACTTAAGAGCGTGTTTTGGATAGTACATTGCTAAACATTTACTCCTCAGTGAAGGGGCAGCTGGTGGCACCGTTTTGCAGAAGAAAATACAGGTTCATCAACTTGAAGTAAGCTAAGGATGGAAATGCCTCTGGAAATCCAGCTCCCCAAATCCATCACACACTCACACCCCCCCCCAAACTCCCCCAAACCATCACATATACACACACACACACAGGCTCCTGACCACACTCCTCAAGCTTCCTAGCATGCAATGGGAATAGGACACCATCAGATTGTTAGAGAATACTCCCCAACACAGAGCTTGTTTATAAACTTAAATGAACTGCTCAGACTAAGCAGAAGTCACCTCTCCCTCTGGGGTGATTTATAACAGCTGCTTGAAACCAGCAAAGGCCTGGACATGAGAGGATGGCAGGAGGAAAGGCCAGACAGGCTTCACACGACTGCAGTGGAATTTGGTCTGAATGAATATAAACCTAAACCTGATTCTGTAGACTCACAGAGAAGGGAAGAGTAGTCAGATTCTAAGCTCTGATGTTTTCAAAAAGAAATTTCTTTCTTATTGAAGAATCAGTCATTTACTTTGGTTGATAATTAGGTCAAATCTAATTCTTTCACCATCTGAAAACTGAACTATGACTATCCTCTGGGAACAAAAAGTTCTTCAATTATGTATTCTACTGATCTTGCCATGACTCCATTTCATATTTACTGCAATTTAGATAATAAACAGGGCCAAAGGTCAGGCTCAGTCTGTGGGCAAACCTGAAGGTTTCTTCTCCCTATAGCTAGACCAACACTTGAAAAGCTAACCTGGAACACAGGATGACAAGTATTAAAGTTTACACAGTGATTTCAGGTTTGCAAAACCCTTTGCATATGTTATCTATGAATATATAACAATATCATTATTGCTTAAGCCTAACAACCCTATATGGTAGAAATTTCGGGGATTTTTATCCCCATTTTAAAGATGTGGGAACTGAGTCAAAGAAAAGTTTAGTAATTTGCCCAGAGTCACACAGGTGCAAAAGAGCCTGAAGAGGCCTTAGAACCTAGACCCTGAAAAAAAAAAATCAAATCGACTCTACTTTAGAATTGATTTCATTATGTATTATCACTGACATTTGTGTAACTGGCTAAGTCATATTTTATTGTCTCTGGGTTAAGTTTAGAAGTCCAGCTTTCCTGTAAATTATTCCTTGTCTCTCTCCAAGTTTAAAGGTTCAGTTTTTTTGTGAAATCAATGGTCTATTCTTATGTCAAAGAAAACTGTTTTCTCTATCCCACTAGTCACCCTTCAAGGAAGTCTGGTTTTGTTATACATGTACCACTAAATAACCTTGCAGGTGGACACAATCAATCAGCAACCAGATGGAAGGGGGGGGTTGGTACCCCCCCCCAAACTCGATCTCCAGACAAACACGGTTTTTCCCATCTATAATGCTAACCTTTTACTATGAATGCTTCTCCTTTGTCAATTAAAATGATCTCTAAAGCCCTACCTTGGGGTCTTAGCTATTGATGAAGAGGCTGAGACCCTATTTATTGGCAAATTCACACTTTGCTAATAAACTGACTGTGCTTGGAACTGTAACTTTGTATCTCAGTCTACCTCAATTTCAATTGTGACAGCCCCTTTGGGGTACTGTGGACCAACTCCATCAGTCAATCAATTAATCAACCTGCAATATTTCCTGCCTCTGTGGACTTGGGGAAATAATTTAACTCCCACGGTTCTCAGTTTACTCATCTCTAAAATGAAGGAGTTGGCCTAGGAGGTCCCTTCCCCTTCCAGGTCTCAGCCCCTGTGACTCTTATCTCCAGCACTTTCTATCCAACTACATTACATGTTCTTCTCTTACAAGAAAAGTCATTTAAGCTCCTAGTCTTTTTCCTCATCTGTAAAATGGGGTCAGTAATACCCAGAGTACTTCACGTGGTTTGTAGCAAGGCCCAAATTAAATGTCATTAAAACTCCTTTGCAAACTTTAAAGTACTACACAAATGTCAGTTCTTAACAATAATGAGAAAATAAAGCTGTCTACCTTAGACTTCACATTTTTCCCTTCAAAAATGGTTACCCTTTAGAGACATATACAAGGAAGGATACTTAACATCAAACTCTCCAAGCTCCCAGGGGAGAAGCCTGCTGGCCACTTTGGAAGCTAGAGAGAGGCTGGTCTGGCCGGGGAGGGAGATAACGGACAGGCCAGCCAGCCCTTCCCACTTCTCTCCTGCTCGCAGGACACTTTCTCCTCAGGCCAAACAGATTAGCCAAATGATGAAGCTGGTGCCTTTCCCTGGGACTGTGCTCTCGCCGTGTCCTTCAGAGAAGGGTTGACACGTTTCCAGCTCATCCATCTGCGGCCCAGCTTTGCTGAGGAGGGGGAGAAGGGAAGGAAGGAACTGACAGTTGTCTCACACTGTTCAGTGTTGTGTGCGCTGTGCAGCAACCTAAAGGGATCCTTTCCTCAGACCACCTGCCTTCCCCACGCCGGTGCCAAGGGCCTGAGGAGAGCTTAGCAGTTGGACACATTTTCACATTCAGGGCTTGGCAGAAGGAAAAATCCTGAGCAGCCCAAATGTAGGGGACTGAAAGCTTCGGTTCCTTTCTGATGGATCTGCCACACCAGCTGCCAGGCCGATGAATCAAAGCCCCGCCACGTGACTTTCCACTGGCCACAAACTTTCACCAGCAGATAGGACAGCAAAAAAAACTAATCTCCAATACACACTGTAATGAAAACAGCACCAGATTGGGAACAAGGAGGCCCAAGCACTAGACCTGGCTCGGCCACTGGTCTGGATATGACCTTGGGGTTAACCTCTTAACCCCACTCAGTTTGCTCATCTGTCTAATGGGGATAATGCCATCTGGCCTGCTTACCCCCACAGCAGTGCTATAAGGGACAAAGGAGATACTAAATGTGAAAGCACTTAAAATTTTTTTTAAAATTGATTTTTGTTTTAACACCCTCATTTCCAAATACATCCCCCTCCCAGTAAGTCATGCCTTGTAACAAGAATTAAAAATAAATGGGGCAGAGTTTACAGGATGAAATTTAGGTGGTACAAAAATCCCCAGAAGATACTAATAACATCATTTGGAGATAAATAAGGGACAGCTCTACCAAAAAAACAAAAATGAAACAAACCACATCAACTACATCTGACAGTAAATTAAACAGAAGAATCATCTTTCTGGCTCAAAAGCATCATATTCATACATATATGAATAAAGTGAACATAGTTTTATCTACCTAGAGATGAATGAGGGGCTTCTTGGTGGAGGGGATCACAAGAGTCCCATTCAGGAAGATCTCTCACACATCTTGGTCCTGTGACCCTGAGCAAGGTGGGGCGGAACTAGGAGAAAAACACATGCAATGGCTGCAATAACATAAATGCTGAATACCAAAAGGCAGCTGAACTCAGACTAATTATAACCACCAGTTTTGAGCCTTCAGAATAGAACATGAAACACACTCCTCTCCTTTCAGAAGGGTGGTAGACCACGGGAGCAATATGCCATCAGTCATTTTGCTTAACTGTTTTCCTTTGTTACAAAGGTGGGGCTCAATGTGGGGTGAGGGTGGGATCCAAGTTTGAAATGAATGTGGTATAAAAGGTAAGCATTCATTAATCAATAATTTTACTGATGTGGTAATGATTTTATCAATCAACTTTAAATCAATAATTTAAAAGCTTAATATGTGCCAGGAACTATGCTCAAAAAAGAGAAAAAAAGAAATAAACAACAAAAAAGCCATCAATAAGACTTTTTTAATGTATAAAAACATTAAAGGGACTCCTCTATATGAAAAAAATTACAAGCAGGGAATTTATTCAATTCAGCTTCAATGCTTCATCACTTCCAAGAAACTAACTAGACACTGGTATTTGCCTCTCTATGGCCTCCATGTCCCGAGCAAGTCCAGGGACATAGTGTTCTTATCCCTCTCCAGTCAACTTGGTTATAGGGATCTTGGACTATTTCTCCTTCCATCTCTCTTCAAACTCTTAGCAGACCTCCAGAAGCACTTTATTTTACAAATCTGTAATTCCTGTGTCAATCAGATAACACTGCTCCTTACAATTTGTGCCATCCCCTCCTAAACTGTGAGAATGCTAGGGGCCAAAATCTGTGTCATATGAATGCTACATATTTCTTAGTGCAAAAAAAATTTTTTTTTATTGATATCACCTTCATTTCCCAAAATAGTCTTCCCTTTTTCTTGAATTTCTCAAATTTTCCTTATTACTAGAAAAATCCCTTTCTAGAAAAATTTCTAGATTTCTAGAAAATCCCTTATAACAAAGAATACACATTTTTTAAAAAGCAGCTCAGTGTGTCCTTTGGCAGGCAGGAGATTCATCAGGAAGAGGAGGCATGAAACCTTCCAATACCTTATCTTGCAGTACCTGATGGGCTGTTCTACCGAAGAGGACTGCTTTTATTCTGTTTGGCCCCAGAGGGCCACACCAGGAGGAATGGATGGAAGTCATAGAGGGAGACAGACTTAAGGCTGATGCAGGACAAGCTAAGACTTGTACAAGCAGGATACGGACTGCCTGGGAAGGTACGGGTTCATCTTTCACTCTAAAGCTTCAAGGAAGGACTGGGCAAACAGCTGCTTCTAATGAATGTTGTAGACCCCCAGCAGTAACACCTGAAACTCAGTGGTGGTGATAGGGACTATACCCGTGGTTTTATTGGCAAAATGAGCTCCTGGATGAGTGCACCCTCCGTAATTATTTGCACCAGCATCTTTTCTGTAATTAATAGCTTTAGAGTTGCTGAGAGGTCAAGTGACTGGTCTAGTGTCACACGGCCAGTAGGGGTCAGAGAAATGAGGGACTTGTTGACTTACTGACAATTGCTAGAAATTTCTTTTTCTGGTCTGCGTTTGACCAGATGGCATTTGTGGTCCTTAACAACCCTTGAGCCTGTGATACTAATTTTATGATTATTGTCAATGTCCCTTGAATTCCTATCTAAATCTTCTGGTTCTGTCTTGTTGGATTACCTGACATTCTCCACTTGGGCCAGGAGCTCGTGGAGGTAAATTAGAAGAAAATCACTGGATTTGGTGTCCTTGTTTAGGGCCATAGTGCCACCACTTCCTAATGACTCTAGGCAAATCATGGCTTTTCAAAGCCTTAGTTTCCTTATTTGTAAAATGAAATATCAGTACTTGCACCTATGGCCAACTTCATTTTAGTCTCAGATGATACTGGGTACAAAAAATAAAAACCAGTGCTAAGCTACTGTTATTCACTTTTAACAAATCCAAATGACATAGACCGATGATGAGTCTGATTCTGGAGAAATGAAAGAAAAGAGGAAAATTTCAGTTTGATAGATACCTGATGAACACCTATGTGGAAGACCCCTCATTAACCAGAAGGCTCCTCTGTTGGAACAGAGGTCCAGACCTAAGGGTCTACTAGGCAGACTAGGTCCACCGAGACTCCCAGGGCCAGGGCATCCTTCCCAGGGCTGCAGCAAGAAATGGGGACCTGGTTGGGAACTTCAAAGCAGAGCTTTAGCTGGTTATGATACTGTTCAGGCTCCAACATCTACTGGCTACCTCACCTTTCTGAGTCTTACTCCCTTCATTTGTAAAATGGAGATAGGCAGAAATAGCTGCACTACTTATATCACAGGGCTGTCATGAGGAAAGTGGCTTGTAAAACTCAAAATGTGGAGTTACTGATTTGTTAAAGAACCCCATCTTAAACTGCCATTAAAAAACCATGCTTATAAAATGTTTATTACAAGGAATGGCTCACTGGAGAGGGAATGGGGTAGGGGAAAGGGATATATGTGGAAATGAATGTGTAATAAAACCAAAAGGTATCCATAAAAATAAGATAAAATTAAAAATAATCATAGCTAGTATCTCTAGAGTACTTTAAGGTCTGCAAAATGCTTTACACATATAATTCCATTTGATCCTCACAACACTATGAGGTATTATGCTATTAGTTCCTTTTACAGATGAGGAAACTGAGGCTAAGCAAAGTTAAGTGCCTGGAGTCCAGGGCTGTGTTGGCAAATTTGTAACAGAACTCTCTGGAAAAAATTATTTAAATCTACCCACCTACAGATATGTGTGTGTGTGTATGTACATATATATAAAATATATATATACACACACATACATATATACACACACTTAAGTTTAATATGCATTAACACTGTCCTTTAAAAAATTTTTTGTATTTCTTTTTTTAAATCTCTATTTCATTAATTTATTTTTAGTTTTCAATGTTCACTTCCACAAGATTTTGAGTTCTAAATTTTCTCCCCATCTCATCCCTCCCTCCACCCCGACAGCGTGCATTCTGAATACCCCCCTTCCCCTAATCTTCCCTCCCTTCTATCCGCGCCCCCCCCAAGCCCCTTCCCCTTCCCTTTTCCTGTGGGGCAGGATAGATTTCTATACCCCATTGCCTGTATATTTTATTTCCCTGTTGCATGTGAAAAACAATTTTTAACATTTGTTTTTAAAACTTTGGGTTCCAAATTTTCTCCCTTCCTCTCCCTCCCCACCCTCATTGAGAAGGCAAGCAATTCAATACAGGTTATGTACATGTGTGGTCGTGCAAAACACTTCCATAGTAGTCAGGTTGTGAAAAACTAGCTATAGTTCCCTTTATCCTATCCTGCCCTCATGTATTCTATTATCTCTTTTGACCCCGTTCCTCCTCAGAAGTGTTTGCTTCTGATTACCCCCTCCCCCAATCTGCCCTCCCCGCTTTTACTGCACCCCCCCATGCCCTTCCCCCTATTTTCCTGTAGGGTAAGATAGATTTCCATACCCAACTGAGTGTTAACACTTTATTAATGTTTATTTGTGAAGTGTAAATGTTCACACTGAAAATTCATCAGGCTCTCAGAGTTGGAGCCCACTCCCAAACACCCCTGCTAGGATCCACTGTCAGTAAGTCTTTGAAGCTGAATTCAAACACAGTTCTTCCTGACACCATCTCCCACACTACCCATTGCACCACCAAGACACCAAGTAGTTACTAAGCATGAGATCCCAGTCATCGACCCCTGGACCACCCTGTAATCAGTTATTCAGATTATAAACATTTCTGCAACCACTAGTCTGGAAAGATTAACAAAATGTCCATAACACATTCTGACAAATTCATGAATATCCACAGTCTTGTTGGACTGGATTAATTTTACCATGCAAAGCTTACTTAACTAGATGGACTTCTCTGGGGTATACAATCAGTAATTATGAGCTGGGATTCAAACCCAGGTCACCTGAGTCCAATGGTGACCCCCTGTTATACTCCAGCTTTGAATTGCTATGACTACTGATGGAGTCTAAAATCACAGAGATAGAGTTGGATGGGACCTTAGTCCAACCGTATAGGGTTCCCCCCCACTAGTGGGTGAGAAGGGAGAAGTATGAGATGAGACCTTTTTACCAAACAGACTTGGAAGGTAAAACAATCTTTATTTTAAAGAAACTAAATCACAGTTTTATAATATATGGGAAAGGGTCTGTCTACTGGTGGCATCTTGGACCTCCCCTGGCTACTCTTTGTAACTCACCTCTACCTCCTATTCATTTCTTCATGTCTGGGGCCTGTACACTTGTGGTAACCCCCACAATCCCACAACACCAATCAGTGTTGGGATGAGCAAAGACTCATGGGGCAGACCTCCGGCAGTTTGAGTTAATTCTGACCTCAGGTGAACTAACTGGAACCCAGCTGTGGGTCCTTTGGGCAAGGAGAATATAAAAAGTTTTAGGGTGTGTGGGGGGGGGAAATTCTGACACTCCAACGAAATTTCCTTGCCAGTGGCTTTTACCTTCCTCACCTGCCTTTTATCATCTTGTGGATTACTTTCTACCTAGGGACCGTTGATGTGAAAGGAGCAGAATATTTTAACCCTCAGGCTCTAAGTGATCCATTACCCAAGCAAGGATGACAGGGATAATGGTGGGTGAGAGTTCAGCACTTAAAGGGACCTGAAAACAAGGCTCAATCTAAACCCCCAAATATTTAATATTTCAAATATTTATTTAGTACAGAACCTTGGAATAATCTCAAAAATCTCTACGAACTGCCAACAACATTTTCTTCTGAGACTTCACCAAACATGACTCCAGATGAAAAATGCCAGTAAGCACAGTTTCCCCAGGTCAGAATCTGAGCAGTAATTGGAGGGCAAGTGTCCTGAAGAACTCGATAGGCCAGTTATGTGGCAATTTCCAAGTTTTACATAAAACTGAACACGATGAGGCTGGGAATTGGGAGACCATGATAGAGTTGCCCATCCAGTTCTGACTAGACATGTGACCTTAAGCAAGACTTCTTTGTCTCTGTCTGTCTGTGTC